GTCAACTGTTCGCTGCCTTAAAAGAGCATTTCTGTGATTCCAGCATTATTAAAATACGTTTAAGTACTTTAGGTTTCAATGTTATCTCCATTTCACTCAAAGTAAGCCCTGCTGTACAAAATGGGACTCTGAATAGGCATATATAGGATTGCAGGATTAAACTGTTTTAACATGTACAAACTTGTAGGCAGGGCCGGCTCTGTCATTAGGCAAACTGAGGCAACTGTCTCAGGTGGTAGAAGCCCCCCAAATGGCAGCTCTACAGGTGCCCCTTCACTGGTGCAGATTTGTTGCCGGTAGCGGCCAAAATTGCATCCGAAATCACACCCAAATTGGGCAAGATCTCACCAAAAATTGCAGAAGCAGCAGGGTGGGCAGAGAAGCAGCAATAGGTATAACAGCAGCAGGACAGGGAATGGCAGTATTTTCTGTTTTGCCTGAAGCGATGAAATGGGATGTGCGGCCCCTGCTTACAGTGCAACTGAAAATAAAATGAACAAATTAATTATTAAAATTGCAGAGCTGACAAACGGATGGATGTGCAGATATATAGCCTATGTTCCTTAAACAAAGCGAAGCTACACAGAGGCAATAACTCCATGCAGTTCATTTTAGAAAGACAGTCAGCAGGACAAACTTCTGAAAAATGTCTTTTTCTAGAATAGTGTTTCCCAAACCTCTGTCTCCAGTTGCTTTTGGACTTTATGATCTAGCAGGACCAGTGGTCAGGGATGATGGGAACTGTTGTCCAAAAAGGCCTGGGCAGGCCATCGGCTTGTGGATCCATGCTTTGTAACCACATTTTTGAGCTATTGAGGCCCCACGAAATAGTGGATGGGGTTTGTGGTTTTTTTGGTGCAGGCTGTAGCTGAGGCCATGCTATGTGATCTGATGGTGAATTTGGGGTGACCCAATGCAAAAATCCTGAGGATCCATGTGCTTTTACCTCCCCCGTCTCAGGCAACCTCCTTTATCTCTAGAGTCCCTTATCTCCCTCCCGATCCCTTGCCGATCAGCTGCTCAGCGGCTTTGTTTCAACACCCCTTCCCTCTTGTTTGCCTTAGGGTCTTTTCCTTAGCTGGAGCAGTTTTTTGCTCCTCCTTTTCTTCTAATTTCTCTCCTCATTGCTTTAATCTTCCTGTCTCCTCTCCTTGCAAGTTTGCTGTCTTTACCTCCCCGCTCTCAGGCAGCCTCCTTTATCACTAGAGTCCCTTATCACAGATATTTCCCCTTACTTTTTAGGAGGAAAAAAGTGCATCTTATGGAGCAAAAAATATGGTATATCATTTCCCAGAATGCTTTTAGAACCTTACAGGTCCACCACATATGACAGAAGGTGCCTTCCTTTTGCTTACATTTCCAGCAGATATTTGCAGGTGTCTTATACATTTTTGCAAGCTTACTAGGAGTCAAATACCATGGTACATCATTTTCATATAATTTTCTTTCAGAGTACAGCATGCTGAGAATTTCGCCACCATCCAAGCCTCCCTGGCCTGCCCAGGCCGGGTCTTCCTGTTCTAAAGGTAAACAACTATTTCCTAAAAAAAAAGGCAACAACTTTGGGGTTGACTTTTTCCAGACCAATTGGCAGCAAGATTCTGCTGCCAAAATAGCTCCTCCTTCACGGCCTGGGCAGACCATCCAACCCTAATCCAACCCCCTGCAATGCTTGAACCCATGACCTTGAGATTAAGAGTCTCATGTTCTAGTGTCTGAGCCACTCTGAACAAGTGGGGGGGACGGGACCCTGAGGAATTAAGAATGCATTTTTCAGAATAGCTCTAGTTCTCAGTGGTATGTAGAGCTGACACCTTTCCTTCTGGGCAAGGCTGTTGTTTGGGAAAGTGACCTGAAGATATATGGTAGGTGAGAGACTGCGCAGCAAACGACCAAAGAGAGGTTTTGGACAGTAAGGAAAGCCAGTGTGGTGTGGTGATGAAGTTTGCTGGAGAACTTTGGTCCAAGGATTGTTGTGAAGGCAAAATGCGTTAACCCTTTAGGCTGCCACGAGCTTCTTGGAGGAACCGTACAGTGCCAACGTGATAAATTAGACCATGGGCTCTGAGAAGGAGTGGGGCTCATCTGCAGAACAGGTTGCAACTTACTAGAGTAGTGGACAGGGGAGAATTCATATGACCCAAGATCAAACCTACCTGTGAAGAGAGCCAGATGCCCGTGACACGTGGCCAAGCAGCATGTGACCTGATTGCGTCATCGCATAGCCATACAGTTTTTGGCCCCAGGTGGTGGTTAACAGCTTCACCTGCACACTTCCCCAGAGGCTCAAAATCAAAGGCAAAGTCTAATCAGCTTCATGTTGAGTCACTCATCATTTGACCCAAGCGGACTTCACCACTTGCAAGGTGTGTTACAAAGACATCCATATTCAGCGAAAGGATTTGACTTGAAAGTTTATGAGCCATGGGGCTTGACCTTGATTTCAGAGAACAGAATGGTGTTTTTTTTACATGCATCCACTACGCTCCGTATCTCATGTCATCCATAAAGGGGAGTAAAACTGGCAGATGTTAATTTTCAGTCACAGCACGCCTAACCCTGCAACTGCAGACTCAGAAAAAACGTAAAGGAAAAAGAACAGCCTGCCCATCTGCTGAATCAGCTGTAGGTAAGTCTCTGCCACCCTCATCACTGCGTGTTATGGTGCTTAAAGCCAGTTTTGTCCTCAGAGGGGTGAGCTAACGTGCACCTTCCTGCCTGTCCCTCATAGGGATCCAAAATGTTCAATTTTCTTGTGCAGAATAACCACGCTACTGTATTTTCCTTCGCTGGGGATGTTATTTGCAGGCAGGGCTGTTTTGCCTAATGCAATAGCTCTTTTGGATTCTGTGGCAGATCCCATTCGGGAGATTTAGTTGTCTTAGAACCTATAGTGGCTAGATGCTGGCTGGCCTGAGATTTAAATTCCTCCCACCTGCTAAGCTAGGTCAATATACCTGGACCACCATTGTTAATTAATCCTGCAGGTGCACTACTGCTGTCAGGCACTCAGCCTTCAACTGGTCCACAACTGGATCTTCCCACATCCTGCTGATACTTACCCCTGAAGCACAATCAGTAAATTAATATTTATTTTTAAAAATCCTGATGTGTCAAAAAAGGAAGAATCGTACAAACCAATTGACCTATCTCCTCGATATACAAAATTATTCTGCAACAGGTTTCCCCTTCAGGTTGGAAGAATGTTAATCTGCCCACCCTGCAGTATTTGCATGAGACAATGGACCAATACGAGGTACCCAGTGTATATGTCTCCCATTGGCTGTTAATTTTGCTGGATAGCACTGGAACCTCCATATTCAGAGGCAGTGTACCTCTGGGTAGGGCAGCTACTCACAAGTTGCCTAAAAGACGACACAGATATGCATAGCATTTGCTTATGCTTATATGTAGAAATTCAAATGCAGAAATAGAGAGAGGACAGACCCTCCAAGTGTCCCTATTTTCCAGGGACATCCCCGATTTAGAGAAATCATCCCTGTTTCTTATTTGATCACAGAATGTCCCACTTTTCCTTAGGATGTCCCTATTTTCACTGGATAAATGTTGGAGGGTATGGAGTTATGACTCCTGAGCTATCTGAAGGCAATCCTGTACAGGAAAGGTTTTTTTAAAAAATGTTTATTATATTTTTATATACAGTGGTACCTCAGGTTACATACGCTTCTGGTGACATACGCTTCAGGTTACAGACTCCGCTAACCCAGAAATAGTAAGAACTTTGCTTCAGGATGAGAACAGAAATCGTGCTCTGGCGGCGTGGCGGCGGCAGGAGGCCCCATTAGCTAAAGTGGTGCTTCAGGTTAAGAATAGTTTCAGGTTAAGTACAGACCTCTGGAACGAATTAAGTACTTAACCTGAGGTACCACTGTATTTTGGAAGCTGCCCAGAGTGGCTAGGGAACCCAGTAAGGTGTGTGGGGTACAAATAGTAACATTATCATTATGGAATGGGACTTCCCTATTTTCATCGGAGAAATGTTGGGAGGGTATGAGAGGACTGGGATAGCTCTGCTGGTAGAACATTAATCTCAGGGTTGTGGGTTCAAGCCCTACATTGAGCAAAAAATACCTGCATTGCAGGGGGTTGGACTAGATGATCCTCACGGTCCCTTCCAACTCTACAGTTCTACGATTCTATAACTGAAATAGAGATACAGGCCTAACTGGAATAGCATGCTAAGCACAAGAACTAACCTTGGCTGGAGCTTGCAGTTAGGGATGAGAGCACTCAACCAAGGAGGCCCAGTTGGCTTACTTAGCAGTAAGGGGAGCAGCAAGGCAGCTGCAAACTTCTCTCCCACACTTTCATATGGCCTCACTGACCCAAGGCTTGTCTTAAGAGCAGGGTTTCCAAAACCCGGGTCTCCAGCTGTTTTTGGACTACAATTCCCATCATCCTTGACCACTGGTCCAGCTAGCTAGGGATCATGGGAGTTGTAGGCCAAAAACATCTGGAGGGCCGAGGTTGAGGAAGCCTGGACTAGATGACCCTCAGAATCCCTTCCAACTCTACAATTCTATGAATCCATGTGGCTTTAAAGTTGCGCAGGCAGAAATTCAGCAGGTGAAGCTTTCCCAAGCAACAGGAGAACTTCACCGATGAATTTGCGCCTGTCGCGGAGCGCAGTTGAAGGTGCATCGGGGAGATGCGTTTAAGACGCGAGGAGCAGGCGGACTCCCGAATTGCGGAAGAAGTCCTCTGCAAAAACAAAAACACAGCTTGTTCCAGAAAGGCTCTTCCAGCCGAAAAGGCAAACCTAAAATGCCAAACACCAATTAGACCCGCCCACGTTCGAATTCCTTGGCAATAACAGGCGGCGGCGGGTGGAGGAGAGCACGCTCTGCAGAACCCTTCCGCTCTGGTTGCTGCGCCCGCCCGCTGCGTGGCAACGGGGCCGCTCTTCTGCCCGGCTTTGGCGCCTGCTCTCCGATTGGCCCTTTTGAAAGCAGCGGCGCGGCCCCATTGGCGCGTTGGGAGTCGGCTCAGCGCGGTCGATTTGAATCCGTCTGCGCTCGGCCTCTCTTAAGCAGGCGCTGCTAAGCCGCCGCCTCCGCTTCCTCCGCCGGTTCTTCGGAAGGTGCGTCCTTGTTTTCGCAGGGAGGCGAGGGGAACGGCTGGAAGCAGTGGGGCTGGCCCGGGCGGAGAGGGTAAGGGGGCTGCAGGGAGGGCGTGGGGGGCGGGAGAGAGAGACCCGTGGCTGGGATTAGACCAGGGCTGGAGGCTGCCGGGAGGATAAGGGGTAGGGGGAGCGCATTAAACCCCACTTTTTAAAATAAATGTGCAACTCTTGTGTTCCTGTTCATTTTCCCTTCGCTTCTCTACACTTTTGCCTGGATGAGTGGGAGAACTTAAAAAAAAAAAAAGCCACAGAAGAAATGTTGCGTTTTCCCCAAACTGCATCCCTTAACTCACTTCCTCTTTTTTTAAAAAAATAAAAAGTTTTTATTCTGAAGGCTGCAAACTTACCACCCACTGGGGATTACTTTTGAGCAACCCCTGTGGGGGGGCGGGGGGGGGGAGGCTAGCCAGAGTATTTTTTTCTCTCTGATCTGGGTATAGCGTGTTAAAAATCTAGTCTATCTGGTGGGTTGGAGGGGAGACAGCTAGAGGTTCTTATCTCTCCCCATGTGCTTACCTAATCCCCAAGATCTCTTTCTCCTTGGCCTTTGTAAATCTGCACTTGACTCTCCTGGCCTTAGCATGTGGCCTCCTGTATGAGCAAGCAGCACTTGGGAGCAGGATTGTGGCCTTTTCAGACTGCAGGTTCTGTTGGCTTGACTATTCTCAGGATCATAGGCACGGGAAGTAGTTTTCTGGAATGCGTTTAAGCAGATGTCACTTTACAGCTTGTACAATAACTTAATGGGTCTCTCCCACTTGGCGAACACCTAGCAAATAAATGCAATATTAAGAAGTGCAAACTACTGTCTCTCATTCTTTCTATATGTATCTGCCAACCTAAAACTATATAAACTCCCAATATGGACATGTAATGATTGCCCTGGTGAAAAACTTTTGTCTGGGACTGGAAAGTGGAAGTGCAACACCCCCCCCCCAAAAAAAAATTACTTTAGGACTTCTCAGTGTCCTTTGATACCATTAATCATGGCATCCTTGACTGGCTTTTGTTTAGGGAGGTGGGAACACAATACTACAATGGTTCTCTTCTTCTGAGATGGTCAGTATCTTTGGTGGCACTAGGTGATTTCTGTTCTGTCTTACTACCTTTGGCTTACGAGGATTCCATCTTATCCCCAGTGTGTCACCCATAGGCAGATGACATGCAGCTCTATCTATTTCCCACTCAAGAAAGGGGTCCTGGCTGACTCCAGCTGCAAAAGCCGAGGCTGCTGAATAGGCCACAGACCATTTTGGCTGTGCGTCCTGCCTTGCAGGCCTTTCTCCACTTGGCCTGAGAAGGCGGGGACCTGGCTGACTCCAGCTACAAAAGCTGAGGCTGCTGATCAGATTCCTGGATCAGGGTGTCACTTGGGTTCTTGTTGCTGTTCATTGATATTTGGTTGTGCTCTTTTAAAAGTTTTATTTTTCTTTCTTGTTTGGGACTACTTTTGTAATTATGTAAATCTTCTCATGTTATAAGCTGTTTGAGCATGGTTTTAACTATGGAAAGGTGACATACAAATAAAATGATGATGATGTGCAACCAGCCCTGGATGTGGTAGAACTCCACCTGAGGAACCAGATGTGCAGCTTGGGGGGTGCTCCTGGATTTGTCACGGTCAGACACAGGTAGCTGAGGTGGCCAGGAGTGTTTTCACAAGCTCCAGCGTGTATCTCATATGCAGCCCCTGTTTAGATCAATGATCAGACCTGGCCTTGGTTATCTGGTGACCTGCAAACTAGACTGCTGCATTTTATGAGGAACTGCCTCTGAAAACTGTCTGGAAGCTACAGCTGATACAGAATGTTGCAGCCCAAATGTTGGTGGGAGCCAGAAGATCTACGTAACTCAAGTTTTCCACTGGTTGGAGTAGCTACCTGTTTGCTTCCAGACCCAGTTCAATGTGCTGGTCTTAATCTTTAAAACACTAAATTGCTTGGGACTTGGTTATCTTCTATCCTACCTGAGTGCTCTTCTTGAGTGCCTGCTTTTAAGATATGTTAGGCTGGCATGCACAAGAGACAGGGCTTTCTTATTGGTGGCGCTAAAACTCTAGAGCTTGCTTTCAATGACTTCTGCCTTGCCCCTTTGATTCTGGCACTTATGCGGTCCCTCTCTATGGCTGCTTGTGTCTCCAGGGCAGCTTTTGGTTAAACCTTTGCTTGCCCTTTCTCTGCAAATTCTTAGCCTTTTCAACCCAGACTTGAACTGCTATAGGTCAAATTAACTGGAACGAAAGGGAAGGATGTCTTCTAGTTGACTTCTTTTGCAGGATGGCAGTAATACGGCAAAATACCTTTGCTTTAGCTTAATTACAGCTGGCTGAATTACTGCAGGAAGGAAAAGATCTACGTGCCCCTGAAAACACACCAAAGTTTCTCTTTGAAAAAATAAATAAATGTAGGGATGCACCTGTCGCTACAACTGCTTGACTCTCTTTGTTCTGTTTCAGGCCTTTTCATATTGAGGAATAATGGACGACTACACAAAAATAGAAAAGATTGGTGAAGGTAGGTAACGTTTGATCTATTACATATTCTTTCTTTGTCTTGCAAAGAAGGCACCTATATACTTGGAAGCAAGTCTCATCGAGTCAGAGTCATTGATGGCACTTACATGGGTCATGAGAGTCCCCCACTCACTAATAAAATGTAGCACCCCAAAGAACTGCATGGTGTGCTAACCCACATACCTGCCTAGGGATGATCACTGAAAAGCTTGCTTTGTGATTCCGAAACTGCTTCCCTAATATTGTATTTGCAATTGGCACCCATTCATTACTACTAGTGAATTTATGAAATGGGAAATTTTGTGTGGAGAAATAAAGCCCTGGAAAATTATCAGCCCCACCTCACTGAGCCCCCCGCCACTTTCCTTCGGTTGCTGCACATGCACTTGTAAACTGAATGCCCAAATAGGACATAGATGTTTGCTCAGGGCAACGTGCTTCCACCCTTGCGCTGAAAGGCTTTGTATCATGTTAAGCCTATGCCCTGGTTGTCACAACATGGTGATCTCAGTGGGGCAGTGTGGGCTCTTTACTCCCATGGCATGCTGAGCTAAGCCAGGCTTCAGCTTAGGGCATCACCTAAACCTTGTGCTTGACCTCTCCTTGGAAACCACAAGTCATAGCTAGTAATAAAACTTGGCTACAGTGTGGTTGTTGAAGAGAGAGCTCAACCACTAGACCAGAATCAGCAAGGCACGCTTTTTGACTGGTGCGGGTCAATCTGCAATCACGTGGAGACCTCTGGATGCCAGGTTGGCGGCTGGGGGAAGCAAAATGTCACTTGGAGAAGGATCTGAAATATTTTCCTTGAAGCTTGAATTGATTTTATTCTGGATTGTTTTATTTGATGTTTTAATGTGTTGTAAACCGCTTTGAGATTCGTTCTTTAAAATCTAAAGTGGTATAAAAAGGAAATGAATAAAATAATAATACATTCCTTTGTGGCGACCATAACCCAGGTTTAAGGTGCCATTTGGCAATTAAGTTACATACCTGAGTTTCTAACACTGCAGAAGACACTGCTAGCTCAGTGGGAGTTCACACATTTGGGTTAGCTTAATGCAGGGGTCAGCAAGCTTTTCTGGGGGTGGGCCAGTTCACCACACCACAGACCTCCGGGTGGGCCGTAGTGCATGTGTGTGCGCACGCATGCGCACACGGCGGAGGGGGCTTCTCTCTCCCCCAGCCCCTCCCGTCCTCCTGCATACTTAGGGTGCTGCCAGGAGGCAGAGGCTGGTGGCGGCAGCGTCGGAGGAGGAACGAGCAGCCCAAAAGGGCTGCTTTCGGGCTGCTCGTTCCTCCACCGACAGCCTCTGCCGCTTGCAAGGGCAGGCACAGCAGCTGCGCTTGGCAGAGTGGCGGCAGCAAACAGCTTGCTCTGACAAGGGGCTGCTGGAAATGCGCTCAGCCAGCTCAGCCCAACCCCCTTCCTCCCCACGGCCATGCACAGCAGCCGCTCGCCCATTGGCCAGGGCCTCAAACCTTAGCAAGTGATTGGCTGGTGATTTGCTACACTGTGAGGAGGGAGGAAGTTCCACCACGGTGAGGGAGAGGGGGGGAAATGTCGTTGGAAAAAAATGGCCCTGCTCCACAAAAAACCCCCCACAGGTTACCCTCACCTATCCATGGAACTGGTTCTGGGAGGCCCATGGGCCTTAGGTTGCCGACCTCTGGTTTAATGTATTGTGCAAACCTGGTGTCTGAGTCCAGAGGATTAAACTGGAGCTTTCTCCCCATTAGGCACTTATGGTGTTGTGTATAAAGGCAAACACAAAGCTACAGGCCAAGTGGTGGCCATGAAGAAAATCCGGTTAGAGAACGACGAAGAAGGTGTTCCCAGCACTGCAATCAGAGAGATTTCCTTATTAAAAGAGCTACGTCATCCCAACATAGTCTGGTATGTCTACACCTGTATAACCTGGGTTTTAACTGTAAAATGGGGTTTTCGTCCTTTTTTTTGGCACTCGCTGAGTCTCCTGAATTACACCTAAAAATGTGAGGGCGTCTTTCATGCGTGATGATGAGGGAATTGGAGTTGGAAGGTACCCTGAGGGGTCCGGCTGGTGATGAGTTAAGCAGCAGCTGATGGCATGATTGGGCTATAATGCTCACCTGACCTCTTTCTGGCTGCGTTGCTGCATGTTAGAATGGGCCAGCCTGGTTGTAAACACACCGGCAGGAGTGCTGGCTATACAGCAGTGACTCCACTGGAGGGAGGTCGGGTTGAGCAGAGCAGCTTGCTGTCCACTATTGGTCTTTAAGACACATAAGGGCTGGTCCTTTCCAGCTTTTCTCACGTCCCCGTCCCAACAGACAGACACAAAGCAAGCCCTGCGTTTAAGGTTTTGTCCTGTGCAAAAGTGGCTGATGGTAAGCCCCACTGAACAAACCTGAAATTAAGTTCCCCAGCAAAAGTGCTTAGATGTGTCCTGCGCTTGTCTGTTCTACATGCATATGATTCGTGTTTCTTTAGGTAGGCTGGATACTTAGTTGCCCTCTATAGACACTAAATGTAATTAGAGTTTACAAACAATCTTATGCATGTGGAGAGGAAGAGCACCTCAGTTTGCATATATTCTGCAGGGTTTTTGTAGCATGCAAGGTGGCATGTGTGGTACCAAAAGAAAATGCTTACTAAACAATTGAATGTGAAGCGTTTCAAAGTCCTTGTCTTTCAGTGGGAGAGTTCAGCATATGCTTAAATGCCTTTAAGATCAGTGGGACTGAAAGATGCTTAACTGTGGCTGGACCATGCTCATTTTTTTACATCCTTGGTTATTTCAGCATACTTTTAATAACAGACTCAGACTTTCTCAAGGAAGGCTCCATGCTGCTTCAGAGGGCCTAGTTATTTTGACTTAACTTGGTAGAGCTTCTCTGTTGAACCACCACCAGGAATTAAGGCAGTTTAATTATGAGAAGGTAACTTGAGTGGGTGTTACGCCTAAAGCCTAACCTGGAGGTCTGCCCAAAATTTTGGTTAAATTTAATGCGTATCTGGCTTGAATACGACTAAATTTGTTGCTCAGAAAATCATACACCTAGTTTAAATCCAAAGCTCTTCTGAATTCAACATTTCTAAGCAGTGAATTCTTCCAACTCTACAAATCTTTGGGGGGGGGGCAGAGCATGTTCATATGGATGTATATTTTGCTCTAGGAGGCTTAGTTTGGTCAGAATCAAGTATACACCTCCAAAGTTAATGCTAAATACGTTACTTCTGGTAAATGAGTCACCATAGCAGCTAGAGGGCTGTGAAAATTTGTGTCCCGGGTTTTTTAGACTCATCTACCCATGTAGACGCGGGTGGCGCTGTGGGTTGAACCACAGAGCCTAGGGCTTGCCGATCAGATGGTTGGCGGTTCGAATCCCTGCGACGGCGTGAGCTTCTGTTGCTCAGCCCCAGCTCCTGCCAACCTAGCAGTTCAAAAGCACGTCAAAGTGCAAGTAAATAAATAGGTACTTCTCCGGCAGGAAGGTAAACGGCGTTTTCGTGCGCTGCTCTGGTTCGCCAGAAGCTGCTTAGTCATGCTGGCCACATGACCCAGAAGCTGTACGCTGGCTCCCTCGGCCAATAAAGTGAGATGAGCGCCGCAACCCCAGAGTCGGCCACGACTGGACCTAATGGTATGGGGTACCTTTACCTTACTCGTGTATTACCTGAAACCAAAGCAGAACGTTGGTTGCCAGATGTGAAGTATATTGGCATTTTTCTCAGCTCTCCCACCCCACTACAGAAACAAGGGCTGATAGTACTAAGCAGAATACTATACTGGGTTGAGTGCCTAAATGTTCACCTTTGAAACAACTATATGCACCCTGGTGAACATACGCTTAAGTAACTAAGTGTATTAAGCTAGTTTCATTTAGGCCTCTCTGTTTCACATTAATTTATAATTCTCAGTCATCCGTCATCTTCATAAGATTTATAGCTGTAAGCTTAATGGATCAGGCAGCATGTGTAATTACCAGCTTTCACATAGGCATGTATATGCAGTGAACCTGCAGAAACCTTAGCTCGGCATGTTACGATGGCTGATTAGATAGAAGTATAATAAACTATGGGATGTTCGTCCAGTTAGATGAAGGGGCCTTAGTGCTGCGTATAACAAACCCACATTGTATGCTTGGTGAAAAGATTTGAACTGTTTTGACTTTCTTAAATAAAGGAAAATTCTTTTCAGTCTTCAGGATGTGCTTATGCAAGACTCAAGACTTTACCTGATATTTGAATTTCTTTCTATGGATCTCAAGAAATACTTGGACTCCATCCCATCTGGGCAGTACCTAGATCGTATGCTTGTTAAGGTAAGGAAACAATACTGCAGACGGGTAGCTTTTGCCCTACCTGCCCACGGAACCCCGTCCACGTTGATCTGTCTGCCAGAGACTCTTGAGGTGAATTGGTAAGAGTAGGCAAGTTGTGTTGGGCCAATGCTTCTCCGTCATCACAGTCCTTGACATCCAAGATCCTTTTGTGAGATCCCAAAGCGCCGTGAGGATATCTAGGAACAAAGTTTGAAAATGACTGCTGTGAATTGTTCTGCAGCAAATAGCTGCAGCAGCCTGGCATAAGAACTGGTGGCCCACGTGGCAGCCAACAGGCAATTCCGAAGCCTGTCTTGAGGACCACAGGTATAGCAGGGCTTTTGTGTTCTCCAGTTCACATCTTAAAGGTTATTCCCATTGTGCTAATTCAGTGTTCTAGAATCAAAACAGGGCAGTACAGTGGTACCTTGGTTCTCGAACGGCTTGGCTCCCACATGCCACAAACCCAAAAGTAAGTGTTTTGGTTTGCGAACGTTTTTTGGAAGTCGAACGTCCGACGCGGCTTCCGACTAAGTTCAGGAAGCTCCTGCAGCCAATTTGGAAGCCACGACTTGGTTTTGGAACGGTTTGGGAGTCGAACGGATTAAGTTCGAGAACTAAGGTACCACTGTAATGGTCTTTTAGGTGGCTTACTGAAATTTGAAGCTGACCCTTTGTAAGAAGCAGCTTTTCTAGCCATTTTATCTATAAAATCACCCTAGTAAATGATGTGGAGTTGCCACTGCAACATCATATTGAAGTTAACCGCGTGTGGATCCGCTTGTCACCATTCATTTGTCTTTTGTTTTAGTTGGTGCCATCAGTGTTCATGATGTTTCGGTTTCACAGAACTGTAGAGTTGGAAGGGTCACCAGGGGTCATCTAGTCCAACCCCCTGCAATACAGGAATCTCAACTAAAGCATCCACGACAGATGGCCACCCAGCCTCTGCTTAAAAACCTCCAAGGAGAAGGAGAGCCCACCGCCCCTCATGGGAGTCTGTTCCACTGTCAAAGAGCTCCTACTGTCAGGAAAGGTCTACCTGTTGTTTTGCTGGAGTCCTCCTTTCTTGTAACATCCGCAAAGATAGGTCCCGAGCCCCGTAAAGCTTGATAGTGGACAGGGGGAGCGGGGGTGCATTTCAGCAAATGAGGTGTATGTGATTGGACTCACGTAGCCTGGATTGCAGACCGCTAGGAACCTAGTGTAAGCGGCTTCATTCTTCTAAAGCAGCCTTTCTCAACCTGTGGGTCCCCAGATGTTGTTGAACTACAACTCGCATCACCCCTAGCTAGCTCAGGAATGATGGGAGTTGTAGTCCAACAACATCTGGGGACTCACAGGGTGGGAACCGCTGTGAGGGATGGAAGGTTTTGTAATACCTATTTTTACCACACCTGTCCCGTCTTGCCCTTCTCCTTTGGGCAGACAAGAGGTGAAGTGCATGCCCTTCTGAACACGCCGTCTTCCAATGCCAACTCTGTTTTAATATTCTTTCAGAGTTACTTGTACCAAATCTTTCAAGGTATTGTGTTCTGTCACTCGAGGAGAATTCTGCACAGAGACCTGAAGCCTCAAAACTTGTTGATTGATGACAATGGAGTAATTAAACTGGCCGACTTCGGCCTGGCTCGAGCTTTCGGCATCCCCGTGCGGGTCTACACCCATGAGGTAAGGGACTGTGGATCTCTCTGCGCTAAATCCTACACTAAAAGTTATAAGCTGTGGATTGTTGAAAGAACCAATGATTTGGGGTTTAGGCAATAAAAGCATTTGTGTTAAAAGCAGCTAATAAAAAGCAGTAAAACAACACCAGGAAAGATGGGGTGGAATGTCAAGAAGAAACTATAAAGGTAAAGGGACCACTGACCATTAGGTCCAGTCGTGGCCGACTCTTGGGTTGCGGCACTCATCTCGCTTTATTGGCCGAGGGAGCCGGCGTACAGCTTCCGGGTCATGTGGTCAGCATGACTAAGCCGCTTCTGGCGAACCAGAGCAGCGCACGGAAAAGCCGTTTACCTTCCCGCTGGAGCGGTACCTATTTATCTACTTGCACTTTGAGGTGCTTTCAAACTGCTAGGTTGGCAGGAGCAGGGACCAAGCAATGGGAGCTCACCCCGTTGCGGGGATTCGAACCACTGACCTTCTGATCGGCAAGTCCTAGGTTTAACCCACAGCGCCAAACACGTCCCATGAAGAAACTATATATGATGATAAATGCCTTGAAATACCTTTGGATAATTAATTTAAAAAATATATGGAAAAAATAATTCCTACACTGAGGCTTGCAAGTTTTTTTCCCATTTAATGTTGCTTATTAAGGAGGTTGCTGCATGCTATTAAGAAGAGCCCTGTTGAATCAGACCCCGGTCTGTCTAGGGCTGGGTGACGTCTGGTGTTCGATATCACAATATATCACCAACTAAACATTATGATATCTCGATATATCATGCTATGTATCTGCAGTGGCAGAGGGCCTCCCAGGAATCCCTGTGGTGGCGGAGGGCCTCACTGCACCTATTCACGGTGGCGGTTGACCTCGCCAGGCCTCCCTGCGGCAGCAGAGGACCCCACTGCGCCTCCCTGTGGAAGCGGAGGGCTCTGTGGGTATCCTCACAGCAGACCTCACCACACCTTCCCACAGTCGTGGGGGGCCTTGCTGCGCCTCCCCATGGCAGTTGGGGGCTTTTAAGATGTAAGGAAGTAGTGGACTTAATAAAAAAACCAGGGAGCTCATGGAGGAGCTTTGAGCTGGATGCTGTTGCTCTGTGTGATCTCCTTTTACATGATAGCTATGCAGATGAAATGCTGTTGATCGTGGAAGAAAGGACTGAGACGATCGGGGCAAGAATTCACCTCGAACAATTAATACACGAACTTCCTTGAGTATATTCGCTTACAAAATAGGAACTAGAAAACTCGGCGGCTTTTTTTCTTTTTCTTTGAAAAACGACTTCAGAAACTGGTGTGCTGATTCCAGAAATGTCGTATACTGGACAGTGTGGTTGAGTGCAGTAATTCATGCATAATTGTTCCAAAGCACGTTAAATCCTTCCCCCCTACCACCCAGCTGGTGGGGTTTTTTTAATTAAAAAAAGCCTTCTAATGCCCACTGTTCTTGTGCTAGGTAGTAACTCTGTGGTACAGAGCTCCAGAAGTGCTGCTAGGTTCTGCACGTTACTCCACACCTGTCGATATATGGAGCATAGCGACGATATTTGCTGAAATGGCAACCAAGCAAGCACTCTTCCGTGGAGATTCAGAAATTGATCAGTTGTTCAGGATCTTCAGGTATCTAACTTAAAATGAGAAAAGTTTGCGGTCTTGTTTTCCTTCCGCGGAAATGTTGTATCCCATCGGTCTGATAATTGTGTGAATTTAATTTTTTTTAAAAATTATTATGGTGCAATGAATTGAGGCCTGTGGTTTTCCGGTGTCATAATGGCAAACTGCTAAACAAATAGTTCTAATTTGAAACAAAGTACGGTCCTTGCTATATTTGCTTTGAAGCACGTCCCACTTACTTCAAAGAGACTGGCTTATTATTGGTAAGTATACTCGGGAGTGCAGCCTTGATAGCCGGATCCTATGAACAATGCGTAGAGGATATCATAAACAGACTGTTCAGATGTTGTTGTCAGGTGAGGGTATTGCAGCAGTGTCTTGTCAACTATTTCTCTGGCAATTGCTGTTGATGCTGGGTTTGGATATAGTGAACTGATATGTAAAAAGTACTACTTTGGCAACAGCTGGCATGACGGATTATGTTGAATCCATTTCACTTCTTTTAAGTGCACTGAGCATGCTACTCACGTTGCTTCTGTATGTTATGGAGAATATTTTTATTACAAGGTTTTTTATTTTCTCTTGCATAGCCTTCTTTGTGGTTCAAAAACACAGTGCAGATATCTCTCCCCCCCCCCCCCCATTTTGGCAGTACAGTCTTATTGACGCACATATATTTAAAAGTCGAGAGTTCCAACACAAGGCTGCATAACTTGTGTCTCGGTTATGTTGGATTCTGAAGCATCACTGCAAGGATCTTTCAGTAGGTAACACTCAAAGTGTCTGGCTGAATCCATTCGAGCAGATTTGCCAAGGCTGCTTAATCAACCCCCTTTTGACTGTTTTCCTTGCAGAGCTTTGGGGACGCCCAACAATGACGTGTGGCCGGAAGTAGAATCCTTGCAGGATTACAAGAACACTTTCCCCAAGTGGAAACCGAGCAGTCTGGCCTCTCTGGTGAAAAACCTGAATGAGGATGGACTAGACCTGCTTTTGGTAAGCGACTGTTTCACTCTCATAAAACTTGTGTATCATTTTTTAAAAAAAATTCATTCTGATGCAACATAGACAGTGTTGTACCTTACTGAAATAATTTTGTTTTCCCTGTGCATAAGCCTGCATAGAGTGCAGTGTATCCAGATGTATGCAGATAAGCTGTTTAATGTTCTTGGGGTTTTGTACATCTATAAAAATACAAGACAGAGAGGCCTGCTGCCTTGGAGCAAAGGCCGACACAGTCCAGCGTTGTACTTGCCACTGGTGCCCACCTGCACACCTTTGGAAGCAGGGCGCAAAGGCAAAAGCCCTCCCCAGCTGTTGCTTCTCCAGCTGCCTCTGAACATGGAGGTTCTACTCTACTGCCATGGCTGTCCGCTACTGATGATAAACAAGCTCATGGAGATGTCTAATCTCCCCCCGAAAAGCCATCTGAAACCGTGACCATGGCTGCAATTGTAAGGGATGTGAATGCTGAAAATATAATTGTGTGAAGAAGCACTTGGGGTTCTTGTTGTTGTTGTTGTTCATCAGTCCTGGAACAAAAGCCGCATCAGTTTCATAGGGTGACCCAGAATTCTAGCGCACTGACAGAGGAGTCTTTCGCGCTCTTGTCTACATATCCACACTGGGTTTTATAAAAGTCCTCTCTCCACCCCATCCTCACTCCTGGTTTGTACCAGTTACCAAATTGTCACAGGATGATTCCATTCTCGCTGGAGAACCTGCGGAGGTTTACTGGGCAAAGTTAACAGGCTGTAGTTGGTGCTGTGGGTTAAACCACAGAGCCTAGGACTTGCCGATCAGAAGGTCGGTGGTTCGAATCCCCGCAACGGGGTGAGCTCCCATTGCTCGGTCCCTGCTCCTGCCAACCTAGCAGTTCGAAAGCACATCAAACTGCAAGTAGATAAATAGGTACCACTCCGGCGGGAAGGTAAACGGCGTTTCCATGTGCTGCTCTGGTTTGCCAGAAGCGGCTTAGTCATGCTGGCCACATGACCCAGAAGCTGTACGCCGGCTCCCTCGGCCAATAAAGCAAGATGAGCACTGCAACCCCAGAGTCGGCCATGACTGGACCTAACGGTCAGGGGTCCCTTTACCTTTAGTGGGTTACATTACACATTGACTCACTCTGTTGCTTTCATAAGGCGTGGATGCCAAATTCACGCCATCTCCTTCAGAAAAGGAAGAGTGGAGAAGCATCAGGTGGGTTGGACATGAGCACATTTGAGTGTCTATTTCATAGGTTAGGTCACCTGTGTAGCAGATAGAAGAGGCATGTGAAGAGTGTGCCATAGAATACTAATATATGAACTGGGGCTCAGGTCAGCAGCCCAAGTGTTGACGTTGGGAAGCAAGTGATGGTATTAAGCTAGGGGCAGGTGAGAACACATCTTTTCTCACCCTAAAGGTTTTGGCCTAGTGTCTAATACTTCTAAAAGAAGAGGAACTCGAATACTGTACATCTTGGTCTGAGATTCATCATGGAAAGTCCAGTTCTGAGGACTCTGATCTCTCTAGGCTCCCCTACATAGCAAGAGGCCAGTGTGTAACCTGCCTTTGTTTCCACTTGCAGAAAATGTTGACCTATGATCCAGCAAAAAGGATTTCTGGCCGCGTGGCTCTGAATCATCCTTACTTTGATGACTTGGACAAATCCAAACTACCAGCCAATCGGATCAAGAAATGCTAACTGCCCCTGAATGTGGTTGAAGCAGAAATACTGAAACTCGTGGTATTTTTTCCCCACTGTCGAAGTTTATTGATATCCCTGTTTTTATATGTGTCTGTCTTGTCCTATCCTAAAACTGTAGCCCTGTCTATAGAGTGCTTTGGTTTGAATCTTCCTTTAATTGTAAATATTAACCTATTCACTTTCAATAAAGCTGTACACTGCTCAGTGAAGCCCACCATTATATATAAATAATAATAATAAATAATAATAATAAACTTTAAATCTGGCGTGGGAGCAGAGGAGGTCCCAGTTCTTCAGCATCAACCTCCCAACATAACTAAAGGAATCAAATTTGCACGGCAGTTGCCAAAAAAAGGAATTACGTATCTGAGTTTTGATATGGATTTTGTGAAAAGGATTGCGGCTATTTTAACAGATTCCTCTCTCTCCCCCTCTCTTCCCACCCCCAGCACTACTCCCCACACCGAAGGCTTCCTCAATACTCTGAAGATCTGGGGAAGGGGCAATAAGGCTGCTGTCACACTGATGGGAGCCTTCGCTAGATTAGCAGATGGGGCTTGTACCATTGGATACAATCCGATGGATAAAAGAAACTGCTAACTAGACAGGGACAGGCTTGATCTCCTCCCCCCCCCCCACCCCCCAGATGGTTGGAGAGCACTTAAATGGTTGCAGCCCCTACCCCACCTAGCTGTGAAATCCAACAATTTGCTTACATGGGTTGGAAGTAGGCGTTGTGTAATGGGGGGGGAGGATGCGCAATTGCCCTATGGGTGTAGCCTGCTCCTCACTGATAGGCGTAGCGAATACGGTATGCGCAGAGCACATAGATGCAGCCCATCACACGTCCTCTCTGTCACAATGGCGAGCATTTTGCTAGTAATTAGTGCTGTTTTTCTAGAGAAAGAGGTGCCGGAACTCGCCACAAATCCCTCCCTTCTCTTGTAATGGCAATGACGCACACCTGGGAGGTGCTGAAACTGAGTTCCGGCTGGGGGGACAAAAGACCTGCTAGTAATGTATGCTTTTCCTCTCTTGTGTGTGATAAAATTATCTGGAGCTATAATTAGGGCTCAAGAGCTGCTGTTACAGGTGCAGGATTGAAGCCAAACTACTTGCCCAGGATTATGAATTGTATGGGACTTCTTGGTAGATCTGGTTTGGTTTAACCATTGGTCAGTTTGACTTGAGCATGGCAGCGGTTTCTTCCCTTCCCAGTCTCTTCTCTGATTTCCCCCCCGGGCAACTGCCCACTTATTATGTGGGTTAGTTAATTTCTCACATGATCTACAGAGGAACTCCCAATCTCTTTTTTTTAAAACAGTGAACCAATGTCTCCTCCTGCCGCCAGGAGGCAGCTTTACCAGGGATGCTGGTTACAGGTGTGACTGTTCCTATTTAGATTCTTGCAGAACAAAGAATGCCGAAACTGAAGGCTTATGGGTCTTGGCAGATGGCCTTCGTGTGTGAGTGGAGTTTGGGCTATTCAAGCGCTGGGACTTGGGGAACTGAGATCACTGTTGGTACATTTGATGCTCCAGTCTCTTGATCAGGCATAGGCAAACTCGTTCCTCCAGATGTTTTGGGACTGCAACTCCCATCATCCCTAACCACAAGTCCTGTTAGCTAGGGATGGTGGGAGCTGTAGTCCCAAAACATCGGAAGAGCCAAGTTTGCCTATGCCTGCTCTTAATCACTGGAGGTGTAGCATTCTACATTGCTGCTAGGCAAAGCAGCATCTGCTGAACATCAGCCTGCCACGTTGCTCTTAACTACAGAAGAGAGAAGGTGGTAACCTTACATGCAACTGCTGCATTTAAACAGTTACAAATGGAGAATTATATGTTGCAGGTCAACAAATGAGTTAGAATTGTAAAGCATAACTATTAATATTTTTGGTTGGGGTGTCATATTGTCCTTGACCACAAGATGCCACTGCAGCATCTAAACATTGATTCTGGCAGGGGGTGGAGGAATATCTGTCCAACGGCGATCAATTTTTCCATACGAAATGGGTAGTTTAATAGCATGTATGCCTAAATGGCAAACATGAGCTGGCTTTGTCTCAGATTAGGTGTTATTTTAATGTCTGAATTTCTGGAACTTGTAATTTGGTAAGGCTGCTGGCTCAGTTTATACGTCTACTTGGAATTGTACCAGGAGAGTTTGGTGCCTAAGGCAGAGTAGACCCAATCTGGTGAACTGTGTAGGGAGCTCACCCCCAAGGAACTGGAAGTAGCAGTTTGCTGTGTTCTCTTGGCTAGCAAGAAGACATAAACTTTTGTTTAGAGTTGCTGCCTCAGTCCTGGTTAAAACTATGCTTGCTGAAGTAACTTGGTTGGGAACTAAGTGTTTATGTGCTACTAATTTCACGCATGGCTATATGGCAGTAACAAACCCTGGTAACATTTATGTTTAAGAAGGGTGGGGCACCTCCAACAGGTCTAGTTAGGCCTAGCAAAGGTCCTGATTTGACCTGTTTCCCACAAGCCAAGCCCATTTGCTGTCTTCAGATGCAGGTAAATGCTTGGTTGCCATGAATTTGAAGTCTGTTTGCATTGGAAACCACTTTCAGTGGGACGTCAAAACTCGTGGCTCTGAGCAGAATTATTGCAAAGGCAACGTGTCTCAGTAACCATCAGGTGATCGGCGCTGGTACATTGCCTTTAAAATTCAGTTCGCAAGCGTGTTTTAATGAGACAACTTGTTCCTCATCTTGTGTGACCCTGAGGGTCAGAGAAAAAGAGAGAGTTTGATTCTTTCTTTCTTTTTTTAAAACCAAATCCATAAAACATGGTGTGGTAATTAAAATATATCTGTTTAATTGTAAGGGGGTAGCGGTCTACATTGCTGAAGCAGTCCTGGCAGGGCCTGGCCAAAGCAGTGGGTGCACTTTCTCCTTCCTTGACACTTGAGTAAGGACAGAGGCACCAGTTTGCCCCCAAGATGAGGCAGTACGTGTCTCGCATGTGTGTCATCGCACACACAATGTCACATATGTCTCCCCATACCATGCAAGGCCAGTGCAGCCTTCCCTGATGGGCCCCCTCAACATTGGTGGGGCTGGGCCACCTTCAAACAAATATTGAGGGGTCCTAAGACACCTCTGCCCCCTAGAGTTGGTGCACCTGGTTCAGGATAGGATAGTGACCAGCTTTGTGATGTGAACAGAGGTGACCATTTTAAGGCCTGTAAATGTTGGAGCAGACAGCCTTATTTAAGCTCAGAAGGGATCTGTAGCTGGTCATGACATTTTCTTCCTGATAGTGCGCGCGTGCGCATATATATATATATATATATATATATATGCAATATATATATATATATGCAATATATATATATATATATATATATATATATATATATATATATGCATGCACTGAATTTCTCCCAGATCAGCACATTTGAGACAATAAGCTTTTTTCCCCAGCTTGGAGGGGCCTACTTAGGCAGAGGAACAAGAGTAATAAGTGTCGCTCTGTATAATCCTCATTAGCTGCTACAGCTTAGAGAAGGAAATCCTCAGAGGGAATTCAGGATTTCACTTTAAAAAAGAAAGAGGGGAAAGATTTGCTTATGCAATAAAATCCGGCTTGTACATAATATGACATACACAGAGTTGTGGTTTTTTTCTTCTTTTAAAAAGGAGAGGAGCTGCAAGAGTTAATCCTCACAAAACAATGCTCAACCTAATAAAACAAAAAGCCTAACCCAAACCATTGGTTGGTGTGTGTGTTTTACTTTTGACATGGTTATAAGGTGCAAAGGAGGTCAAGGACACCAGTATCTATGCAGCAGGCATAAAACTCAGCAGATGCTGCTCGTCTCACTGCAGGTTTACAGGTGCGCAATCTAGGTCAGTTGCTCTGTTTGCTTTTTTTGTGTGTACACACACACACACACACACACACACACACACACATCTGGCTGGATTAGGACATGGCTAGTGCTTTGGCAAGGTTTTACAAAGCATGTCTACTGATTAGAAAAAGTGACAAAATCACCCAGTCAGTGAAATGTAGACAGAGAACATGCTAGGTACCTACCCACTGCCACAATGTTTGTAGCTGCAGCTATATACCATACTGCAAGCAATGATCTGACAGGTGTAAAAAGTACAGCCATACCTCGGGTTACAGCCGCTTCAGGTTGCGTTTTTTTCTGTTGCGGACTGCCGAAACCCGGAAGTACCGGAACGGGTTACTTCCAGGTTTCGGTGGTCGCGCAAACGCAGAAGCGCCGAATAGCAACCCGCATGTGCACAGTCGCGGGTTGTGAACGCTGCGGAATGCGAATGTGCATCCCACATGGATCATGTTCACAACCCAAGTGTCCACTGTACAGTGGTACCTCAGGTTACATAGGCTTCAGGTTACAGACTCCGCTAACCCAGAAATAGTGCTGCTTCAGGATGAGAACAGAAATCGTGCTCCGGCGGCGCGGCAGCAGCAGGAAGCCCCATTAGCTAAAGTGGTGCTTCAGGTTAAGAACAGTTTCAGGTTAAGAACAGACCTCCGGAACGAATTAAGTACTTAACCTGAGGTACCACTGTACTCTTTAGTATCTGATTCTGGATAAATATGGTTCTGAACAACCAGCTTATCCTATTGCTTGAACAGCTCCAATGGAAAGGCTGGAAGTTGTATGGTGACATAGCTCCCTAGAGAGAGAGCAGCTTTGAAGACCTTGGGGGCAAGTGACTGAATCCAAGCCAAGGTAAAAGCAGGAAGAGCCATAAGCAGGAGCTGTAGGTCAGTTCCCAAAATGAAGCATATGTACTGTGTATGCAATGAATATGCCAAATGACACCAGAGTTGGGGCTGCCCCAAGAGGAAGGACAAAATTCATCTTCCCATCCTTCCATGTACTGACTCCAATCAGGCTGGTGGCTGACTAGATAGCATTCAGCACATATGAGAGCAGTAGTTTAGGGGAAGGCAAAGCAAGACTCCCAATACCTTTTTGCTATTCCCACCCACCCAAATCTTAACTGCTGCTTCATTCTGGTGTAGTCACATGGTGACAACAGCACAACCACACTTTTGCAAAAGCAAAAAGAAAAATAGCTAACTGGTTTTCTTTTGTGTGTGTGTGTGTGTGTGTGTGTGTGTGTGTGTGAGATATACAAGATAGAAGATATACTTGTTTTTAGTAGCTATGATGCTTTTGCACCCATAATAAAAGCCTTTATGCACTCACTGCAATATGCTTCCTTCACCTTGTTTCCTATCTGCTTTGGTGAAATTCATTCCTTTTTCTTTCGTGCTTCATGTTGGACCATTTAACTGGAGCATCATCGACAAGTTTGCCAAGGAATTTGATACTGGTTACCTCACTGTTTAGAAAACAAAATAAATTGTTCTCGTTGCTCAAGGTCCTTAGCAGATCAGTGCTTTAATAATCAAAGACAACCAAGCAGACTCAGAAACCATCATGGTGGCCTAGTGCTGGGTGGTGGCAAGAGTGGTTAAGAACTTGCAGAAACCCATCAGCACTAGGCAGACACCAAGCAGAAGCACATCATCATGATAAAACCCCTAACTCAGGCAGCATTTGTATGTTCATTCACTTGTTAAAGTGATTGAGAGCTTGGCAGCACTTCCGAAGAGGAGTGGGAGCTTGCTTGTCCTCCATGGTGAAGGAAATTGCAAACACTTCTGTTGCTGAGACACTTAAAAAGAAACCCATTCAATTAGTATTGGACAAGTTTCTATGTGTTCATAAAATAATGGCTGTTAGAAGCGAGAAAATTCACCTTTTTCTCCCCCAAAAGGCATTTTTAAACACATCTTTTGGCGACTTCCTTTATGGCTTGAAATGTAAGGAAGATTAACTTTGGCAATTTAGAAGCCTAGCTGTAAAAATAGGAAAATTGCTGCTATATGGCTGCTATTTTTTAACGGGAATTCCTGCATGATGCTTGGAGAATGTCAGTAAACAAACAAACAAACACTTTAGAGACAAATACATAGTACGCTATAAAACTGCAACAAACCTGTCTGCTACTAGGAGTGAAATCTTATCCAAAATGGAGGATGTTTCTTGTTGCTTTGTTCTACTTTGTATCTGCCCATGCATGTGTACACACACAGTCTATAAAAACCACACGCAGCTGTTTTAAAATCAGAGGGAGCATGGAAAGCCATGGGTTTGCATTTTTATACCAAGAAAAGCTGCCTATTCCTTTTCTCCGTCAGTATGCATAATCTTGCAATGTTCTGCATCATGCTGCGGGGCAATTCTGCTGCATCACAGTCAAGCAGAGTTTGTGTGTGTGTATGTGTGTGTCAAGTGTTAACGAGGACACAATTTTGTACCGCTTTTATGCATTTTGTGCACAGCAAATACACCCAAGGGAAAGAGGATTGCTCCTACCACTCCCCGCTTGTTTCCATGCACGCGGTCAAATGTGAAACCAGTAGATAGAACCTCATCTCACCTAAAAGTAGATTTAAAGCAGGCTAGTGTGCTCATGCTCCTCTGCCTGCTCACCAAATGTAGAATATGTAGGGAACAGGAGGGATCCTACCATTGCCATGTAAGGGTGAAATTCTTAGGTCCTGGAATGATGACAGTGGGCATAACCATTCTAGCGAAGTACAGGGGTGAAAAACAACGATCCCACACTGTTGTGAAAGCCAGGCTGGGAGACTGTAGAACTCTACAGTCAGAGCAAAACTTCAGGCTGAGTCTGTCTTCTCTCAATAAAGCTTCAAGGACTCAGAGGTTCCCTGAACACAAAGGGACTGGTGTTGGTGGAGAGAAAAATTATATAGGGAACAGCAATGGAACAGTTAATTTCACCGGTTCTGAATGAAAAGGACTATGTGCAAACTCTAGCTTGTTGGTCTTCTTCCCTGACCTGTTAAGAATAAACCCGCCCTGAAATATTCAACATGCAATACTTTCTGGCTATATATTTTGGAAAAATGCATCTTAAATGTAAAAGATTCATTGTGATGATTTGAAACTAGACCCAATAACCAGGAAACATTTATAGCTAAACAATTTTTTTTATTGAGGTTGTTTTTTTTGTTTGTTTTTTGCAAAATAAAACAAAAAGAACCCCCCACCAAGATTAAAGGCCAAAGGCAGAATTAAACCAAATGAACCAGCCACTTGGTTACAGTAGCTGATAACTAATACAGCTGGTTATTATTGCATATACCCCTGGTTCATTTATGCACGTCCATGTCAGTTTGGCAAGATTACAATCATAGAGAAGCTTTGGTTTTGTAAAACTTTAGTAATAGTAATACTTATCAAAACATATAACCTGCTAATATAATTCAGGCTCAATCTACACGGAATGGCACAGACCCATTTGTCTAAATCATGATCTGCCCCCAACCCATATAGCAAGTATCAACTGCTTCACAGGTAAAGGGAGCTAAGCGCTCTCACCTTGTGCCTCCTGTGTACTTTGTCCCTTCTCTCTCTCCATAGGACCTCCCCCCCCCATCACTACCTAATATTGGATACAACTGGTTGCAGTTAGGGTACTCCCTTTGCTTTACAAAGGAGGCCCTCGGACCCAGGCTTAAAATAACAGGTCTGCTCCTTTCACATGAAATTCAAGCCTCAGCAACGGTGGTTTCGCTAATGATGAACACACTACTGCTGACCATAAGTTTATACCATCCAGCTTGCAGTCATTTTTCGCTTCATAGCCCTTTATCAGAGTGCAATGATCATTCCTTTTGGGTAAATGGAGCTGGTCTTTAAATTCCTACACTGAAACATATTTCTTACTGTCCTCGCCAGAGGTTCTAGCTTCATCTATCACCCAGAACCTGGATTATTTTGGAAAGTTGGGTGGGCTTTGCCACTTTTCCTGTCCTTAGCAACCTGGTTTGGACTCAAGGTTGGGTTATAGTAGGAACAGAAAATGGGACAGCTCTTCCAAAGGGCATGTTGAGGCACCTGCAGGAGAGAACAAAGGAAACCAAGAAAATGCAGTTGATAAGCTTGACTGGAGAACTATACGTATAGCAGGAATAGGCGACTCTTTGTTTTTCCTCTAAAGCTTCTGCCACTGCTCCCACCCCACCCCTGGCCTAAGCACAATGCTCATAGCTCTAACCACAACTACCTTCTGTGGCAAAGTTCAGGGCATGCTAAGATGCCAACTCCATCCACTCTGCCTGCTCATAGTGTTCACTCGCCTCCAGTCTGCAATACTCGCTTCCTAAATATTTATTTCCCTCCCTAATTCTCCATATTAATTGGTGGCCAATGTGGGGGTTAGAAAACTCCCAGCATGCTGCTCTTCCACATGGTTGGAAACAGCTGGGGCACCAAAGTAACGTCTAGGCTAGATCTCAAACACTCCACACACAAAATGAAATGCCACCACATAATATGTAGTAGTGCATTTACTATTGAACATTAGCATCACTGCCAGTGGGGCTATTGCCAAAGATAAGGGAAGGAAAGTGATGGGACAGGCTTCAAGCCAAAACTGGTGTGAGTGGAAAACAATTTTAGGAGTCCATCAATTAGGTGCATAAACCAAGGCAGGTGGGGGGAGGAATCAGTTGCTGGCTGTGAATGTTCCCCTGCTTGAAAGGCAGTCTTTAAAAGCTCTCTTATGCTATCCTTCCCCCAAGTAGCTCAGAGGACAGAGATCATAGAATCATAGGATTGTTTAGTTGAAAGGGACCCTGAGGATCATGTAGTCCAACCCCCTGCAATGCAGGAACATGCAGCTTTCCTGTACGGGGATCAAACCTGCAACCTTGGCGTTATCAGCACCACACTCTAACCAACTGAGCTATCCAGTTGCTATGCATCCAGATGGAGCGCATGTTGCATTTTATCCCTGCAGCAACTCTGTAAGGTAGGTTAGGCTGAGAGAGAGAGAGAGATGGCTGCAAGGTCATAGAAGTAAGCTTCACAGCTGAACAGGGATTTGACCTCAAGCCTCCTAAGTCCAGCACATCACCCATTATACTACACTGGCTCTTTTGGGAAGGAATTATCTAGTTTACTGCTAAAATATTAAGACTTGATGCAGAAAAGCCTCAAAGCGTTGTAAGCTTGGAGTGGGGCTGTGCATGCATTATTAAAACAAAAAACATTTGTCGTTTCTCTTTTCTCTCTCTCTTTTTTTACTTCATTAGTTCTAGATATAATTTTATTGTATTGTGAAAACTTTTAATAAAAATTTCTGGGGGGGAAAGGGAGCTTTCCCTGGGATATCTTTTGTAGCATATTTAAAAAGGCAAGACATACTTGTACACTTTACTGACATGACAGCAGCCATGGGTAATGGGCTTCTCCATATAAGCCTGTCTGGTGGTGCCTGCAAAAACCCTTCTTTTGTTACAGGTGGTGCAGTTGTGGTGTATCCACCACAGACCTCTGGGGTGCGAACTCTATACCTGGATGGACCAGCTCAAAGTGCATTGATGCCTGATGATGCACATGGAACATCTTACAGAGGCAAGCAGTTTGCCCACGCTGCCATCATGTCTGTTTCGGTGCTCGGAGATTATTTGGGCCAGAATACCATTGATAGTGAATAGGTGGGTGGGTCGCTCCTATATGAATATAACGGAAGGGATCAACTTATCTCCATAGCCCTTACTTAACATGTGGATATTCAACAAGCAAGCAAACAGTTTTAAATATACAGATATTTCTTTAAAAGGCATCGACAACTATAAAGAAACAAACCACGTAATTAACTAAAAGTCTTACTGCCTTTAGGTTTAGGTCCCTAGGAAATCTGCAGTGGATAAAGACATAAGTGTAATGAGGTCTTCTAATTATTTTTAAATGGTCCTTTTGAAAATAAAGACATTGAAAGCCATGGAACACATAAAAGAGGAAGTATTAAATTTCACATGGCTGTTGCATTCTGCCCTTACATGGCAAATACTGAAAATACATCGGGTGCAGCTGAAAAGGTAAATTACACTTCATATTCTTCAGCTGGGGGGGGGGGGAGATATAAATTCTGTATAACTTTGTTGTCACTGGATCATGTTACATCCCATTACTTCAGAAAAAATAAGGATCTAATTGTTGTGAATACATAGTGTTTGGGAAGAAGTGGGGGTGGGGGGGTGGGAAGCCAGTTGCCTAGCAAGAGTTGGTTTGTTGCTAGGATGGCAATTTAAGCCAGGGAGGTTTGTCAGAGATGTTCATCATATTTCATTGTACTTGCAAGAGGAGAAACAAAAGAAACATAGTCTAAATCAAAGAGTTCCACAATAACTGTGGTCTGTGAAAGAACAATGCTGAAATAAAGACCTTCACATACATACACAACTGTATAAAAATACTGTCCACTTTGGAGATTGAAATATTAATTGCTGGGATTTGTTGTCGGTTTGTATAAAAAAAGAAAGAAAAAGAAAACCAATACTGATTTTATACAGTAATTTAGCTTATAAACAAATAAACAAAAATACAAACGTTTGACATTTTAAGGAGCAGTTTCACACCCACTTCAGGTGAGCTTGTGCTTGTTGACCTTAGAGATGATAAATGCACACAGGTGGAATAAAAACAAGTGCCCCAAATATCTGCACAATCCACCAGAAACTTCTGTGGAAGCACCATTGAAATGAACTCCCATTTACTTCAATGGCATCTGGTACAAGAATGGTTCTCAGTGGACTGAGGTGCTCTCCTTCATGATAAGACCTCCTCTAAAGAAATGTTCTCCAAGCCACTCTGTTGATAGGTTTGCCTCTCCTTTTCTCAGACAACAACTGTGGAGGAATTCCAGAAGCACCACTTTCGTTTTGAATGATGTTTATTCAGTGCAATGTCTTCCTTTTCTCTTTCCTTTTTAACACGCTGGAAATGATCTTCTTCCTTAAGGTACCACACTGGAGGCCAGCGGTGCCTCTCGAAATATTCCTGATTATCTGTAAACAAACAAACAAAGAAGTCCCCAAATAACTAACGAATTCTGTAACTAGGACAACATTTTAATTCTGCTAATAGTTAGAAATTAGTTTTTATGGCATCAAGACAGTTAAGAAAAGTAGTTACTGTTACTTCTACATACCAGAATCTGAAATCTTGTGCAAAAATCCAGGAAAATCTCAGGCTTCATTTTTCAAATCAATATGTCATGTTTCTAGTTCTCAAGGTACATGACTGGTAATATGTGTAATTCCAAATCTGCAATGGAGAACTAAGCTCTCCTCTATCTAGTTTTGCATTTTCAGATAATAGGGAAACTAAAAAAATAGGTATTTGCAAACTGTATTTACGATACAACATACAATGCTAGAATACAATAGCTTAAAAATAGAAATTCGAACTCTGCAACGATAAGAGATGCTGCAGAAATAAAAGAAGTACACACACAACAGCAATACCTAATAGCTCTGTTCTAATGTCAGACAATAAACAGAAAGCTAGAGAGTTCCAGAAAGACATCTACTTCTGCGTCATTGACTATGCAAAAGCCTTTGACTGTGTCGACCACAGCAAACTATGGCAAGTTCTTAAAGAAATGGGAGTGCCTGATCACCTCATCTGTCTCCTGAGAAATCTCTATGTGGGACAAGAAGCTACAGTTAGAACTGGATATGGAACAACTGACTGGTTCAAAATTGGGAAAGGAGTACGACAAGACTGTATATTGTCTCCCTGGTTATTTAACTTATATGTAGAATTCATCATGTGAAAGGCTGGGCTGGATGAATCCCAAGCCGGAATTAAGATCGCCGCAAGAAATATCAACAACCTCAGATATGCAGATGACACAACTTTGATGGCAGAAAGTGAGGAGGAATTAAAGAACCTTTTAATGAGGGTGAAAGAGGAGAGCGCAAAATATGGTCTGAAGCTCAACATCAAAAAACTAAGATCATGGCCACTGGTCCCATCACCTCCTGGCAAATAGAAGGGGAAGAAATGGAGGCAGTGAGAGATTTTACTTTCTTGGGCTCCATGATCACTGCAGATGGTGACAGCAGTCACGAAATTAAAAGATGCCTGCTCCTTGGGAGAAAGGCGATGGCAAACCTAGACAGCATCTAAAAAAGCAGAGACATCACCTTGCCAACAAAGGTCTGTATAGTTAAAGCTATGGTTTTCCCAGTAGTGATGTATGGAAGTGAGAGCTGGACCATCAAGAAGGCTGATCGCCGAAGAATTGATGCTTTTGAATTATGGTGCTGGAGGAGACCCTTGAGAGTCCCATGGACTGCAAGAAGATCAAATGCATCCATTCTTAAGGAAATCAGTCCTGAGTGCTCACTGGAAGGACAGATCGTGAAGTTGAGGCTCCAGTACTTTGGCCACCTCATGAGAAGAGAAGACTCCCTGGAAAAGAACCTGATGTTGGGAAAGAGAAGGGGACAGAGGATGAGATGGTTGGACAGTGTTCTCGAAGCTACCAGCATGAGTTTGACCAAACTGCGGGAGGCAGTGGAAGACAGGAGTGCCTGGCGTGCTCTGGTCCATGGGGTCACGAAGAGTTGGACACGACTAAATGACTGAACAACAACAATGTCAGACAAATTGTGAGACAAGTCTGATTTTTTAAAAAAGAAAATGATGAATTTTAGCAGCGCAGCAAAAAATAAAAATCCTCCTAGGAGGTTAAGCAGCCCATGGGCTAAGCAACCCATGATACAAGTGACATGTGTGAAGCATCTAATGTCAACCTGTGATCCATAACCCCAGATATTACCAGATAAATATAAGGGATTATTGAGCCTATGCATGCATATACTGCTTTGATGTTATATCCAGTAAGTGGAAGTGAGATGGTTCCAGAGACAGCCACCCCTCAGGGAATGATGGCCAGGTATAATTCTGCTGCCACACTGAATAAGCTTCTAGGCAGGTTGCCTGATGTTTAAACAGTACTATCAATATTTATAATGCAAAGTATTAACGATCAAATAAAAAAGAGGAAGTTTAAAACAAATCCAATGTGTATCAATATATTTATTCCCTAGCTAATGAAGCAATACCCAGTCCTTTCAAATCCATAGGCTAGGCTAAGGAGAAAGCAATATTATTCTCATGTAACTACTACTACATGGGGAGGAGAGCAATGCTATCAATGAAATTCACATGCATCTCAATCTCTAGTAAATGGGTAGGCAAACTAAGGCCCAGGGGCCAGATCCGGCCCAATCACCTTCTAAATCCAGCCTGCGGACGGTCTGGGAATCAGCATGTTTTTACATAGTAGAATGTGTCCTTTTATTTAAAATGCATCTCTGGGTTACTTGTGGGGCATAGGAATTTGTTCTTTTTTTTCTCTTCCCAAAATATAGTCTGGCTCCCCACAAGGTCTGAAGGACAGTGGACTGGCCCCCTGCTGGAAAAATTTGCTGACCCCTGACAAGTAGGGTTGTCTTCTGAAGCCATATCCATAATGTCTTTTGTGAAAGCCACAAAGACCGTCAAGTAACAAAAGTTTGGGATTTCAGGCCACAGTTTAACTAATTGTAAACACATCCCCAAATTAATATATGCTTGTCTGCCCTTTCTTAAACCTCTGTTCCATCTCTGACAAACTTCACCTCCGATTCACTTCCTGCCGTCATTCACTTTTTGCAACCTTCCAACTTGAATTCAAACTTTGGTCAATTCAGCCAGGCCTAGATTATCTTAACACCAAAGGATCACACACGGCAGCAGCATACTTATTACAGGTAAACAGAACTCTGGGCATGGCTCCTGATGCAGGGAGAGATATGGTAGATGCAGCTCCTACCTGTTGCCTCCTGGCCTTTATGCTTGGTCCCAATCTCACCTAATGTGGTAAGAAGAATTTCATGTTAAAGGTGTGGGGGGGGGGGGAGATGAAAATGAATTGGCATAAGATGCTGAGGTTGCTCCTGCTGCTTCCTACTGCATGGGAAGATTTCAAGGTGTCCTGTGTCTGAATAATTAGATGACAACACCATAGACACTCCCTTCCCATTGTTCTCTGCCAACCCAAACCTTGACAAAAGCTCAATGAAAACCTGGGTCTTGGGAGCCAAATGAAATAATGCAAAAATGCATGTATGAGCATGTAAATTTACTTGATTTGTAGTCCCCCCTCCTCCCCAGCTTTAGAATAGAGAGAAGACAGATGTACAAAGGTTGTAAGAAAAGGCGGAGAAAGCTTGCTAAACAGCCTTACCAGGAGATTTAGTTTTGATTTCCTTTCGGAATTTGGAACAAACACTGTTGTAGTTGGTGCAGATATAGTGCAAGCACCAAGCCGCCAGCTGGTTAGCGTTGTGGAACTGGAAAAGAAGAGAACCGAATTTATATTCTGTAGAGTTAACAGTCAGTATGTGGAACAATTCTGAAGTTAAAGGCAAGGGAGAATTACTCAGGGATTGAGACATCACAGCGGCACGTGACAAAAACTGACAAAGCCACAGATACAGTACTATGGAACCAGCAGGGCTGAAAACCAAAAGTGCAATAGCACCCCCCCAAAAAAGCTGGGACCCAGAGCAGAGCTAACTACTTTGAGTCAGGGTTGCAGATGGATTCACAATCAGAAATTAATTGAAAAAGCTGCTGGGGAAGGGCTGAAGCTGAGGGACAGAACATCTGCCTTGCATGCAAAATGTCTCAGGCATCTTCAGGTAAGACTGGGAGAGAGGGAGAGACCTTGGTCTGAAATCCTGGTCACTGCCAGTCAGAGTAGGCCTTACTGAGCTAGATGTACCAATGACCTGATTGTAGACTGTAAGGTTCTACACTTAGGTAGGAACAATCAGATGCTCAAATATAGAACGTGGGACACCAGGCTTGACAGCAGCACCTGTGAAAAGGATCCTGGGGTCTTAGTTAGACCATAATCTTAACAGGAATAAACGGTGTGATGCAGCGCCTTCCAACTCCACAATTCTATGATACTATGACTCAGTGTTAAGGCAGATTCTTATGATCCCAGCTTGTCAATGTAAATAAAGTATCGAGGCAGCAGACCGCCAGGAACCCCATGGTATTTATTCAGTGTTTGCTGGTCTCCCAAGACCAGAATTAAGACCAAATTTTGGGAGAGGGGGAAATGCATGAGTGTGCATTTGTAGGGGTGAGTCAGTGGGCAGGGAAAGAGTTAAGCACCACTCTCATTCTCTCCTATGGATGCCCCACCCCTGCATTATCTCAGCAAACACAGGTTTGGGAACATGTGTCTCCTAAGATGATGTACTGACTTTTCTAAAGAAATAGCAGGTTGGTGGGAAGGTATCAATTCTCAGTAACCATGGTTATCATCACAGAGGCTTTCTAAAAATTGAAATATTCCTTTGATCCTTGGGAAACAGCAACCTTCCAAGCATTATACATTCACCATCAGGAAGTTCCTTCCCTCCCCCAATGTGACCACAGATAACATATTATACTAACCTGGGCTATTTCCAAATCGTACAGCACATCTCCATCTATGCTAACACCACTCACTGATGTTTTGGTAAGCTCCTGCACAGCATGCTGCTCTGTTGGGGTTGAAGAGAAACACAAACCAGTTTACTGTGCAGCATAAATCTAGCTCCCTCCAGCCCCTGTTTCAACTGCCTTTCATCCATTGCAAGACTGCCCAAGGAAAAACAATACTACTATTTGGGCTGACATAGATTTCTTTTTTTAAAGTCATGGAATAATCTTGCTTCCAGCCACTTCTCTTTGAAACAATTGGAGGGCGGGGGGGGGGGGTGGGAGGAAATAAGCAATTATTGGAATTAACTATCATCAAATCACTAACAAAATAATTAACCATCAGATTAGAGCAGTAAAAGTAACTTGGACTGCTCTTTTATGCAATACTTGCTTGAACTGGATTAATTTAAAATTGCCCAAGCTCCATTATTAGACCCTTAAAACAGGAATTTGCAATGGAAACTTTAGTGTTCATGCTCTTTCAATTAAGAGTAATCAAGTTGCCTAATGGGCATTATGAATTGCAGACACTTATTTGTGTTTAGTAGCTTAAGCATACACAAGAATGTGGGCCAAATTAACTCAGCACAGAAAAAGAGTGGAGGAAACAATTATGTTTTTCTAACTGAAAATATGTACTGCAGTTTGATTTTAGGAAGAAACACTGCATGTCTGTTTTTGCCCAAAGATCGTGGAAAAAACAACAGCTGACAATTTCAACATCACTGGCAGGAAGCTGAAGGCGACACCTGTAAAGAGAGAGAAACCTTACCTGCAAGCGCAACCAAGTGTGGGAGGCAAAATCTGTTTGCCAGTGCAATTAATTCAAGCGTATCCAACTCCTGACTGGATGATAGCTGCTTGGTGTACAGATAATCCAGAACTGCTTGCATGGAAGTCTTGTTTATATTGGGAAGAACAACCTGAGGGAGGGGTGTGGGGGGGAAAAAGGGTATTTTTAAAACGCTCAGAGCTGGGAGATGATCTACTCAAGGATAAAACACTTGGGCCATATGGCTGTTGCTATTTCCCCTCAAATGCAACTCTGCAATGCTTTTATAAAACCAGAGAAAGAGGTTGAAAATAAGAACGTCTTGTTGCAGAATAATTTTATTATTTATACCCCACTCATCTGACTGGGCTGTCCAACCACTCTGGGCAGCTTCCAACTTATATAAAAACATAAAAAAACATTAAACATAACAAAATCCCTATGCAGGCCTGCCTTCAGATGTCTTCTAGAGGTTGTATGGTTACTTATCTCCTTAGCTCAAGGGGGTCACATAACTCCATACCCTCCAACATTTCTCCAATGAAAACAGGGACGTCCTAAGGAAAAATGTGACTTCCCAGAGTCAAATCAGAAACCAGGACAGCTTCTATATCTGGGACTATCCCTGGAAAATAGGGACACTTGAAGGATCTGTAAGAGGCCCTCATAGTAAAACAAATGAACCCCTTCACAGTAACCAAACTTCCTTCATAAAAGTACTGCTCAGCTTCTGTGTTGTTAAACTAAAAAAGAACAGCGGACATTTTATTTTCAGCAGATCATCACCATCTGTTTTGCACAGCAATGTATCAAGTGGGAATGTCCTTGCAGATGGGGTAATTCAAATTAGATACTGAACTATTTGTGCACCACAGATGCACCAGTTTCCATTCCGGGCGGCTGTTTTGCTAATGTCTTGTAAAGGACCAAGTTGGCATAGATTGACCCCTTAGGATGAAGGCTCTCCACAGAGAGCTGCAGGTTAAGCCATGGACAACAAAATCTTCCCCAACAAAATCAACGAACTTAAAAGTCCTTAACTTCAGATTGATCATGCACATGTGTTTGTGCATATACACATGCACACACAAGCAAGGATGAATGTACATCCATCATGAGCCAAACTCCTGAAGGGGGGAAAAACCCTACATATATCAGGTGAAGAAAAATAATAGGCACAATATGCACAATGTCAAGGGCACTTCACATTGTCATTTTTGGACTTTGCCTCTGCATTAGCTCATTCTTGTTCTTAATATAAACACTGAGCAGCTAAAAATAATTCAGAGATGCTCTCTGGGCTGCTGATTATTTTTCAGCACCTAGCAGTATTACCTTTCCTAGGACAATTGCTTTCAGTAACTCCGTGCTTGCTGCTACAAACACTCCCTTAGCGCTTCCAACAACTTTCTTTCCCAAATAAAAAGTGATTATGGCTATGGGATGAGAGCCCTTTGGCAGTAATGCAGAAAGAGGCCAACCTACTCCCCCAATGGTATAAATATAACAGTGTTTTCCAAACTTCCGATACTTGAGACACATCAATTTTTCTGAATTAGACTTGCAGACACACTTCGCTCTAGGTCTGGAAGAAAGAATGGCCAGAACACCCGCCGTGCATAAGTGCATCTGGAGATCTCTTTTAAAAAGCAGAGTGTTGTAATGCCCCTCTGCACCAGGACAAACTGAGTCATCCTACTATAGCACAACATTGAAGCACACTGGAATTACCTGCCCCTACAAAAAGAAAGGAAGCCTCAGAGCACTCTCTAATTCATTCATTAAATTCCTCACAGAACTCCAACAGGTCTCATTAAATTACAGAAAGGTGGTGCAGCACATGCTCTGAAAAATATGTTTGGGGCTTTAAAAAGGGTGTGTTGTTGTTGTTTAAAGATAATATGTGGGTCTGTCCCAACTGATCGAGCCCATCCAGCTGCTCCTCGTGGCTGAACTTGACAAATAGGCAACATGGTACCCTTGAATATCTGTCATCCTCCTTGACCACCCAAAGGCACCATTCACGAGATACCTGGGTATCCCTTACAGCTCACAGGGACCTCCTACTCACTAATGAGAAGTGCTTGCATTGGTTCATCAGCACTGTTGTTGTTTTCTTTGACATACCTTCCCATTCTTCCTTTCTCCTTTATATCCTGCCATTATTGATTTTTTTAAAAAAATGTTTGTTCCATTTGGAATTGTATTTTGGAATGACTTAGTGTCATTCTTAAGGGACTGTTGCTCCATCTCCTACCCCTTCCTGCCAACTAAGCCACTTGGGATTCAGATGCACACATTTTCGTGAAAATGTGAGGAAAGCAAGTTGCCCTTGCCCAGGGTGATGAGAAAGCTCTCCCTGCTGGATAATTGGCTTGGAGCTCTCTAGCCAGAATGAAAAGCAGATGTGGTGGCACAAATACACCAGAAAGCTGGACTCCTGTACAACTGGCATATCTCATAAGGCAGGTGCAAGCATAGCTTCTCTACAATTTTTTTAAAAAAATGTGGCCCATCAGGGAAGCTGTAGGTAGAGGTATAAAAAGATCAGAGAGATGCAGGTGTCATAGGTCAGGCCTACATGCAAGTGTCTGCTACAAACTTTGGTTGGGTTCACATTGTTGACTGGTGAAGAGAAGTCATAGAATCATGGAATCATAGAATTGTAGAGTTGGATATCCTGGGGGTCATCCAGTCCAACTGCCTGCAATGCAGGAATCTCAACTAGATCATCCATGAGAGATGGCCATCTAAGCTCTGCTTAAAACACCCAAGAAAGGAGAATCCATCCCCTTATCAGGGACTGCGTTCCACTGTTGAACAACTCTGACCATTAGAAAGTTCTTCCTGATGTCAGAATCTCCTTCCTTGTAACGTGAATCCTTTGGAGCAGGAATCCTGCCTCTGGAGCAGGAATCATAGAATCATAGAATCATAGAATCATAGAATCATAGAATCATAGAGCTGGAAGAGACCACAAGGGCCATCGAGTCCAACCCCCTGCCAAGCAGGAAACACCATCAGAGCACTCCTGACATATGGTTGTCAAGCCTCTGCTTAAAGGAGAAAAGATGCTTGTTCCATCCTCCATGTGACAGGCCTTTAGATATTGGAAGATGGCTATTATATCTCCTCTCAGTCTCCTCTTTACCAGGCTAAACCTACCCCATTCCCTCAACTGTTCCTCATAGCTTTTCTTTATTACAGTTTTCCTCAAAAAAAAAGGGGGGGGCATGATCAAATGTGAGAGGGAGTGGTCCTACTGATGTGTGGTTAAAGGACTGAGCTACGAAGACCAAGACCAACAGCTTCCTTTAAAATATTTTGCACTGCTGAGGTACAATTACTATGTACTTTCTGGCAGGAAAATAGGCTTTAAACATCATCATCAAGATGTGGTCAATCCCAGCCTCCACCTTTTCTATAACATGTTAAATGGCCCTGAATGTCAAAGAGCACAAATTTCTGAAGAATCAGAATAAACCCTATGTTCATCACAGGATTAATTTCAAATTGTATCCTCAGGAAGTAGATAAAACTTTCATTGCAACCCAAAAAGCCTAGCAAAACCTGATTAACTATGTTTATTTTGTCTTACCTTCACAGCTAAATGTAATTAAAAATGTAATTCCTAAGGCCACATTTTTAAAAAAATATTCAAATACTTTCCCTGTACTTCAGCCTTTTTTGTGCATGCAAACAGTTTTCAGGGAAGAGTCATCCAGTCTCTTCCTCACCCGCCCTGTAAACTCTGTGAGACTCAGAAAGAAACAGTGAGGAATAGGAAGCAACCTTGTTCAAATTTCAGTGTGAGAGTTGTGCCAACTACTTCTCGTTAACATCCTCCCATTTCATCAGTATGTATTGCTGCTCTCTATTCCAGTGTTGTACAAGAAGAGAGGCATATCCAGAATTACATGGCCAAAACAAATACTGCCAAAGAAGGAAGTCTTGACTCGCAAGTAGGGAATCTGTCAGTTTCAGTTTCTTCCAGTTTCCAAACTTAAGTTCAGTTCTTCACATCAGATTGTGATTTAAAAACATAAAAAAAGCTCTGCCCAATAATTCATCAGCATTTTAGTGCAAATCTCTCCTAATATACACAATTTTTAATATCCAATTTTGTACAATGTACACATTTTTGGAAGGCAATGCTGCCTTATATAATGCATTTTTGTATGTTATTTTTTCATAAATGTATGCATTTTTATGCACACTTTATCTCAGTAAGTACATTTTTTGTAAACATTGGTTGGCTGCACAACTGCGCTGTAACATTCAGAGAAGTGCAAATTTCAAAAGATGGCTGTTTCCTGGTTTGTGTATTGTTTCCAAAGTGTGAATTTGGTAGATTTGCCTTTAAATGTGTTTCCAAAGTGTGAATTTGGTAGATTTGCCTTTAAATGTGAACTCAATTAAATTTCTTCCACATCTATACTTGCAAGCTTTGACTGTTTTTTGTTTTGTTTTTTCAATTGAAAAGAAAAGGGAGGAGTTAAGTACATGCTTGCACACAGCTTCCTTTATAGGTGACCGGCTATAAAGAAGCAACAGCCCTCCCAAGAAATAATATAATACAGCTCCACTGTCAAATAAACAAGGTATAGGCTACAGAGTCTTCAGCATTATTCTGACTGCAAGGGGATGGGTTGCCATTTTGCCTCATGTCCTTGACAGGCACATGCAAATCTAGTGTCAGCATGAAGCAACCTTGGGTTCCTGTCACGGCACCAACAGGGTACACCTCACGGAAACTTGCCTCTTCAAAGCTTTCACCCTGGAAGATTTCTCTTTAGTGGCCACCATTGTGTTTTCCCCACAGTGAACTGGTACTACATCAGAGTGGGGACTGAAGAGGTGGGATGATGGGTGCCAGGAAAAAAGCCAACATGGCTCTCAGAAGCTTTGCCATCTCCTACAGCTAAAATCGAAACAAGAAAAGCCCACAACTGTGCCACAGTGTGAAATAAGTTCTCCATGAATCTCAAGCAGGCCAACCCACATGGATGGAAGGAGGTCCAAATAAGGTACTTTGCCAAGAGCACCCTCAAACCTGGGTGAAATCTACACACATAGAAAAACCATTCTGAAAATAATTTTTTAAAAAAATACATTGAATTTTCCATAAGGCTCACCATCGCCATCTACTGTCACATTGTATATTGCACTTAAAGCACAGCAAATGTTTTATTTGAAGCTGTATAGCCGAGGCCCCAGAGCCAGTCCTAGGAACATTAAAAGTTAGGGTGGAGCTCTCCTTCCCACTTTGGGCATCCTCAGTTAGGTGCAACTATATTCAGCGCGCCTCAGGGAAACCCCGAACCACCTTAAAGTAAACACTGGAGGCATTGCTGCCAAATGGAAGCTCGTGGATTTCTTGACAGGGAGTGGAGCTAACAGCTAGGCACTGAACAGGAGGCAAACTAATATTAGCTACACTATATACCTATGAAAGCAACCCACAGGTGTTCCAGAGGCATTTTGAGCAGGAGCTGTTCTTGGGGGTTGGCTAGCGAAAGTAACTATTGCAAAAAGTGCAGCAACCGTCACCTTGTTTTCCTCCAGGAAAATTTAGCTAATATGATGTTAAATAAATGCAGAATGCATTCAAGCTCAGTTGCAAAATAATAATACAGTGGTGCCTCGCAAGATGAAATTAATTCGTTCTGCGAGTTTTGTCGTCTTGCGATTTTTTTCGTCTTGCGAAGCACGGTGTCGGGAAAGTTTTGGAAAAGCTTCAAAAATCACCAAAGTCTTTAAAAACCTCAAAAAAGGCTACCACACCGCGTTCTATGAGTTGCTCCTCGAAGTCAAGTCGCAACTGTATTAACGGTGTTAAGACAAAGGAAACACACTTGCACGACGAATCCATCTTGCGAAGCAAGCCCATAGGGAAAATCGTCTTGCGAAGCAGCTCAAAAAACAAAAAACCCTTTCGTCTAGCGAGTTTTTTGTCTTGCGAGGCATTCGTCTTGCGAGGTACCACTGTAGTAATATTTGGAACCCACTGTTCTAAAAAGACAGGCGTGGTTTCTAGCTGCCACTAGGGGAGGGCAAAGACCCACCATCTCTCACAGAGGCTTAGATTTAGGTGGATTAAATTTGAAAACTGGATATATTTTCGTCGGTGTCTGTTGCAAGGACTAAGTGTGAATGCATGAGTTATTGCTGCAAATAACCTGTTCTCCCTGCAGAATTTCAAAACAATAAATAAATTAGAAGCAGCTCATTATATTTATGTCAAATTGCCTCAGTCTCTACGTGCAATACACATCTTGGAACCAACTACTTCCCCGTACATTTCCATGGCTGCGCTTGTACTTTTGAACTTAAAGATCTCAGTTGCGGTGCTTTATGTGCTTCAGAAATCCAAGTCTTTGCAATTAATATTTTAAGGTTACCAAGAAGAACACGAGCTATTAGGGTTTATAATTAGGAAGCAGATTGTAGAAAATGAATATATGTTCTTGTTGCAGGAGAGCTGCTTACTAAAAAATCAAGGTATGTATTTTTAATGAGCCACCTGCTGAGCGTGCCTCTGGGGAGGGAATTATGCTTACTGCTGTTTTAAAAGTAATGAGAAAAAATTTAAAGTAGAACACAGACTTCCAGAATATTAAATACAACAAAGAAAAAAAAAAGAAGCGAAAGAGAAAGAAAGCTAAGCCACAGCATTGCTAAGGGGTATCATTTTCCCTTGATGTGGATGCCTCCCTCAATACTCAAGCAGAAAGCAAAGCTGCTATAGTTAAAATGTGATAAATAATTAGGAAGCTGTCCCAAGCATCTGAGTTTCGACAAAAACTAATCAGGCTGGGATGAGCCGATCTGCCCTGCTTATTTAAAAGCATAAATACGACACAAAACCGATAGTCTCTTTCCATGTTGCCACTAGCACTTTAGCATTCCAGATGATACTTCATAGCAGTGTAGATAATGAGTATTCTTCACTTTAAGAATGGAGGTGTCTCGAGGATCTTCTTTAAAAAATAATAATTTAAGACTGTAGTAGGTTTTGATTTAGAATTCTGGTTAAGGTCTGGCCAGCGCCATACCGAAGGCAACTTTATCACAAAACTGCTCTGCGGCATTTGCTCTGTAGCAGAGAATCATAGAATCTGTAGACCTGGAAGGGGCCACAAGGGTCATCTGGTCCAACCAACTGCAATGCAGGAATTTTTTTTTTGCCTGGGAAGGCAGCCCATCTAGGAGAAGGAAAACTGACCCTAAACCTCTGCTGCCTTGTGGGATATCTTTGGGAGAAGAAAGGCTTAAGGAGTAAACCCTACGTATTGCTTTGCTTTGCTTCGGACCGTATCAGCGATGCCAAGGGTGTGTGTGTCTCTTATCATATGGGCAGCCCAGGACCTGACCTTGAGGAGGTCACTTCAATGCTGCTAAAGCAGCTGTTTGGCTTCACCTCCCAAGGAACACTCCATTGTCTCTTGAGACAGACAGATGCCAACAACACTGGTTGTCAGTGCTCCTTTGAGCACAGTTTCAAGTTTTGTTTCCTTTCAAGCCCTAAATAGCTTACGGCTAGGTTATTTGAAGGACCATCTGCACTGATCTGAGCCTGCCTGATTCTTAAGATGGGCTTGCTTGCCAGCCTGCCAGTAAGGTCCGCTAGGTTGCTGGATGTAAGAGACAGGGCTTCTCAGTGGTGGCCCCACTATTATGGAGCTTCCTCCCACAGGAAGTAAACTTGGCTCTTTCATTTATTGTTTTTTTTAATGGCCTCTGGGCATCTGGTTGTTTAGATCTACTTTTAAGTACTGTATTTTTCCGTGTATAACACGCCCCCATATGTAAGACACCTCCTATTTTTGGGAACTCAAAATTAAGAAAATGGGGGGAGATTGCCCCCGTGCATAAGACCAGCCCCCCCCCTTAACATTATTTTTTAGTAAATAAACCTCCTAGTCTTATATACGGAAAAGTACGGTAATTAACGTGAAGCTGCGCTGGGCTTTTAAGCGTAATTCTATTACTACTGCTGTTTTTTAAAAATAATTTCACTGCTGGTTTTTTGACTGAATTGTTACTTACACTGTTGAATTTGTATTTTATTATTTTAATTTGTTTTATGATGCAAACCACATTGAAAGGTGATATAAAGGTAAAGGGACCCCTGACCATTAGGTCCAGTCGCTGACGACTCTGATGTTGTGGACAAATACCTAAAATAACCCAGAAGGGATGGGATTAAAATATGGATGGAAACTAAATGAGGCAGTTTGCTTGATATTTAATTATGTTTCCAATAAGATCAGGCCCTTGCGGGTGTATACTTGGCAGAGAAAAAGCTATTGTTTAGGTGTGATTTTCATGAATGATACAACATGCATTTATTTTGTAGCCTAGATTTAGAACCCGTCCAAGATGTCACAATGATTCCATTTGAAGACATAATGTGCTGCCTAGCAATTGAGACTTTCAGAAATGCCTGCTTTGATAACAGAGTCAGGGAAGGAGGGGCAAAACTCCTATTCTCCAGAGAAGGCCTGCCGGAAAATCCTATTGCCAGAAATGCCGATCACACTCTTTGGGTTAAAAATCAGGAAGCCAGACAATACTGCTCAGGAGACCAAATTTCATCCAGGGCACGTCTATCTGCGACCCCCAGAAAAGTGGCTGTTTCCCTGTTCTTCTAGTTCCTCCCACCAAAGTTCATCTAAAACGATCCTCTTATACACAACAACAGTACAGGGACACCAACATTTAATTTACTTTAAAATTCAAATTTAGGAAATGAGAGAGAGAGAGAAATTACCATAACAACTGAAATTTCTTGAGAAAGGAGTCACTTAGAACCTAAAACATTTTGAAAATGCTCTCTGGGCTAGTGATGACAAACTCCAGCAAAATGTCCCCTTTGTTTAAACCACCGCAATTTATCAACCCAAAGGGTAAAGCTTATGGCACATTATTGAGGCTACACACCAAAGAGAACAAGTACCTCAGTGTTTGAGCTTTCAATGAATGATCCTCCAAACATTGCAGACATCCATTCACAGCTACAGATCAGTAGTGGCTTGTGAGCATTAATGTTTCCATCTTCCAGCTTAAACGTCACATCTGCCAATGGGATCAGAGAAACAGAACCATAACCTATGGTGGAAAGTGCTTGGAGCCAAATACAGCTGGAGGAGGGCGTTACAGAAACTGGAGGAGGGCGTTACACAGCTCTCTCTGACGAATATTACTGCAAATGCATCCAAAAGGGCACATAATAATTATTTCTAAGTGAGACACAGATGACCATTAAAACCTGGGCCTGCAGAGGAGGAACAGCTTTGCACTCTTCACTTTTTGGAAGTCTGGCCACTGAAGGCTTCATATACACAAATGGAAGCAGTTTAAACTCGTCCACTCAGACACGAGTCGTTTGCTTATGTGAATACAGGCAGCACCCAGCATCTGACAATACTCCATTGTACTCTTCGTGCAATTCACCCAAGAGGATGCATGTCCCAGAATTAAGGAGCATAGCTCAATGGTTGGTGGTACACATTCTTTCCAAGACACCGAACATTCCCACTTAGGGCTGACCAAAGATCCCTGTTTGAAACCCAGGAGAGCTCCTGCCAGTCAGTGCACACAGTTTCTGATATAAATACAGTAATGCTTTGACTCAGTGTAAGGTAGCTTCTTAGGTTCTTGATTCCTGGTTATGTTAGTTCTTAGGAATGGGCTATAGAGAAAAATATTAATGAATCAGTCTGCCTGCATAAAGATGAAACAGGATGTACATATGCAACTTTCATTCCTAGACGCAGGTTCGTATTGATTTGAACTAGCCAGCCAAATCTTTGCTGTGGACCTCTAGTTATTTCTACTTTTTCTTGTGCAGACTAATGGTTTTGTCTACATTAAATTAAACTGATTCAAGAGCCACACCCTGAGATTAGGGGTGGCAGAGCCCTGTTGCTCTAGTGCAGGCATAGGCAAACTTGGCTCTCCTGATGCTTTGGGACTACAACTCCCATCATCCCTGACCACTGGTCCTGTTAGCTAGGGATGTTGGAAGTTGTAGTCCCAAAACAACTGGAGGGCCAAGTTTGCCTATGCCTGCACTAGTGGGAGTCCTTGCACTGCCTTCTGCTAGTGGAATGGGCTAGCTGAATATGGCGCCAATGACCCTTATTTCACTCCCTCATCTGAGAGGTCATTAATATTATCATTTAACAGGCACAGAACTGCAGCTGACAGACATTTGCACAAGGCCATCTATCATGTGTATGGACATCCAAGATTCACTTCTAATTACTTCCTGTTGTACCACAGTGGCCTCTGGTTCAGACACTCTGTAATCCTCCACATAGCATGGGCCTGTAGCTTCAACCACATGGAGGAAGGTAACATATCAGCCAGCATATTTCCTGGCAATGATTTCCATCAATGCAGTAGAAGCATTTTTTTAAAAAAAGCTGGCATGCTCACACAAATCGCTACCAGGAAACAGCTCATATGTTGCATCCTACATGGGCCTGTACCATAGAGCTAGGGATAGAATGATTTCCCCCACATATTAGCGCAATTTGATATTTTACTTTATTTTTAAATCCTCATGAAAATTCACCAGCATTTTACCACAAATCTCTCCTAATGTAATTTTATATGCAGTTTTGACCAATGTGCAATTTTTTGCAAGCAATTATCCCCAATATAATGCATTTTTGTACCCTAGTTTCACAAATAACTTCATTTTCCCCAATATATGCGTTTTTGTAAACACTAATTGGAGAACTGCATCACAAAACTTGGAGAAGTTTGAATTTTGAAGGATAGCTTTGTTTTGGTTTGCATATTGTTTCAGAAAGTGCAGATTTGATAGATTTGGCTTTCACTGCATTTTGGATCAAATTTCTCTCCCATCTTTACATAGAGCTGCTGTCCCTGGTAGGGTTTATGATGTTGGAACTGGACCAATGACTCCTACTTGAGTGTTATATATTGCTTTATATATGGAACTATTGATTGGATGACTTTTGTGGATTAATTCAAAGGGATAATGAGGATGTATTCATGTATTCTCACCAGAAAATGTTTCTTTAGAGAGGCATTCTTTTATCCTGTTAGCTTTTCTGACATGGAAAGCCTTTGTAATTTCCTGGTTCATGAAGGCTTCCTTATTCATAATGTTTTCCACCATCATCCGCAGGTCAAACACTTCCAATATCTCAGCAATCTGAGCTACTCTGGTAAGATCCTTCTCGTTTTCATCCAGCTGCCCTGTGTACAAAAACTGCAGAACCGTTTTAAAAGGCCCAGGCTGAATAGAAGCATCTATCTTGACCACTGTTACAGCACAAGTCCTCTTTGAAACAGGGTTGACTTGCACTTCTCTATGCATGCTAACAAAGCCTTTGCCCAAAAATGTTGGCGCTTGCTTCAGGCAACTGGCTTCCCCTGCTTCAAGCTCTAACCTTGTTAAAGGGTTACCACCACCTGCTAATGACGTGAGTTTGGCATTAGAAGATTTTAAGGTTGCCATCTCACTACTCTCATCTGTTTCAAGGCTGCATTTTCTGGCCATAAAGCTTCTACCAGCCCTTTCTTTATTGCAAGGAGTTTCAGATAAGTCTGGGGTTTCTTCACATTCCATTAAAAAAAGGTCATAAAACTTCGAAGAGGAGGTAGCTAGGTAGATCTTGTGAGCAAAAATGTGAGTATCTTCCTGGAGGATAAACATGACATCTGCACACAATGGATTGTCCAATAAGTATCCGGCTTCATTGATACTGGTGATGGGGCACTCTGGGATTTTGATAACCGGAGGAGGTGCCTTTGGAGGTAGAAATGGAGCTTGAAGCAAAGGCTTCTGAACTTTCTTCAAATGCGATTTCCAGAACTGTAGATGTCTCCTGGAGATCAGGGCAGCTCTAATGGCATTATCAAACACATCCTTGACGCCAAACTGGTCAAATACACTGGTTTCGTAATATGGTATCCCAAGCTCCTTGGCAACCTCTCTGCCTCTTTCTGGTGGCAAGATGTCTCCCCGTTTGATAGGCCTGTGAAGTAAACAAACAAACAAACAAACAAACAAACAAACAAGTAGTTCACGAGAGCTGGATATGGCTTCCATATCTCATTGAAATACACCTATGCATGGGTAGTAGTAATAATAATAATAATTATATATATATATATATATATATATATATATATATATATATAATATCACTTAATTCCCTGATGGTTTTAAAGCACTTTATGAAACATAAAAACCAATTGCACAACACTGCTAAAGTACATAATTAAAAAAATATACAATAAAACAATCCCATAGCAAATAAAAGAGGAGACTTTGGTCAATGGAATGGTTGGTGGAATTCCAGTACAGATGGGGCCTCTTGTATTTCAGCAGGAAGTGCATTCCACAACACTGCTCCTACAAGTGGAAAAGACCATCTTCATGTCACCATAAGCTGATAATCATCAGGCTGTGTGGTAAAGACTATCAACTTGGTGATCTTAATGCCCTTACTGGGCAATGAAGGGGAAGTCAGCCTGTCAGGTGACTCTGGTCCAGAGTTATTTAGGGCTTTATATGTGAGTAACAAGACACTAAAACTGCCTCAGTGGCTGATACACTGCAGGTCCCCTCACCAACAACAGGATGTGTGCCAGGTAAAGTGCACCAATTACCACCCAGGCCACAACATTCAACACCAGATGCAGCCTCTGGACCAGTCATAAGGGAAGCCCCACGTAGAGGGCATTACAGCAGTCTAAACGTGAGGTGAGCCACAGAGGCTATCTTTGTTCAGAAAAGGGTGCTGTGGATGCACCTAGGCCTCCATGGACAAAGATGGTTCCAAGAGCACTCCAAAACTAAGTAACTATTCCTTCCAAGAAAGAACAGCCCCATCCAGAACAAAGTATTTGAATCTTGGACCTGGGAACCACTGACCCACAATGTTTCTGTCCTAGCAGGATTCCGTTTCAGTCTATTTCGGCATCCTTAACTATCCCTCCAAAGCAGTGCCTGGAATTTCATGGTTATAAGCTCAGCCTGCACTTCTTTTCTTTCCACAGTCATTGCCTACCCCCTCCTTAGGTGGATTTTGAGCCCACTGTGTGATACTAAAGGTGCTCTTGAATTACTGATCCACAATAATAGCCTCAGGGCAAGCTGGATTTAACTTTTCTGTTTAAAACATTTAAAAATATTTAAGTTAACAAACATTACAATCTTAATAACATGCAGGTATATGGATCAGTATTTCATTTTTCCATTGATTTGAATTGTGTGTTGTTATTGAGGTAACAATAACAATATGTGAACAATAACTGGTTATAGAAAATATGCTGTAACAGCACCTACCATCCTCAGCTAAGGGTCAAGATTCCTTTGCATCAAGTATTATGGAAGTACTATTTCACACAATGCAAGGTTAACCTTGCCAGTTAGCTCAGTTGGTTAGAGCATGGTGCTGATAACGCCAAGGGTCATGGGTTTGATCCCCATATGGGTGCATATTCCTGCATTGCAGGGGATTAGACTAGATGATCCATGGGGTCCCTTTCCAACTCTATGTTTTTATCTTTATGGAATTCATTTCTGTACCACACAACCATTTCTGTTAGCTTCAATGGCTTTTAAAAGGGTTTAGGCAAGTTCAGGATGGCAAGCTTTACCAATGAGGCATATCCAATGGAACCTCCACATTCAGGGACAACGTAGCTCTGGATATAAAAGAAGAGAGCTATTGCCTTTATCAATGAGCATCTTTCTAGGTATTATTTGAAACAAGGTGCTTGAACTCCATTCTGATCCAACAAAGCCCTTATTATTTTGAACACTGTTCCACGCAACAAGGACATGGGCTTTCTGGGTCAATCTGACACAAAATAAACATCTTTTTTTAGAAACAGAAAGCAATTGCACTTGAAAATCAGAAGTATGAATCTGGCACCAAATCAAGCAATTGGCTGCAATTGTTGGGCCAGGGTTTTTTTTGTGTGAAACCTAGACCTCAGCAGCAGAGAATATGCTTTAGAGTCATTTGGTTCAATCCAAACAGATATAGGGTACTAGGCTGCAGGTTAAGACTTCTCCTTAAGATCTTGGAGATTCACTGTCAGGTGAAACAGAGAGTACAGTGTTATATGAACCAACAACCTGACACAGTATAAAGCAATGTGTCATATATGGGGATGAGGAACCAGTGGCCCTCCGGATGTTGCTGGACTACAACTTCCATGACCTCTGACCAGTGGCCATGCTGGCTGGGACTGATGGGAGTTGGAGTCCCAGAACACCTGGAGAGCCAAAGATTCCCCATCTCTGATATATACTGTTAGGACAGGGGCAGAGAATCTGTGGCCCAAGCTTGCATAGCCCTCATCCAGCTCTTACTGTCCAGACCACTGTTCTGAGAATTGCTTCCTCTTTGTGTCTGCACACATGTAAGAGAAAAGATGTGGTGGCACCGACAGATTAAAGAGTTTTGGCAGCAGTGGGCAACCTGATGTTGTTACACTACAACTCCCATCTTCCTTGACTACTGGACCCTGCTGCCTGGGCTGAAGAGAGCTGTAGTCCAACAATATCTGGGGGGCCCCAGGCTGCCCACCTGAAGCTATGCAATCCTGCAAGCACTGCCCCCTTTTGGTTATGGCTCCACCCACCACTAACTCTGGCTCCTAATTGGCTTTTGCCATTAGCCAATGTGCCTTTATAAGAAAAAGGTGAGCCACTCCTGATTTAGGAGGTAGAAGACTACATACTCCCCAGAAGCTGAGGTGCATACTAATATTGTCACAATTGGAAACATGGATTTCTCCTACTGAATATTGAAGCCAACTTTACCTTGCTAATGGCCTTCTGGCTCGGTTTACAGCTTCCAGATCAGCATATCGAAGATCCAGTTGGCAACCAACCAGAATAACAGGTGTGCGAGGACAGAAATGCTTGATTTCTTGGTACCACATGGTTTTCACATGATTCAGGGAGTTAGGATTAGCAATGGAAAAACACAGGACAACAACATCGGACCTGGAATAAACATGCATTGGCTTAAATGAAAATTAAATCTCATCCTCTGTGTGTAAAAAGGAAAAAGGAAAACAAAAAACCACAACCCCCAAGACACCAGAGAACCCTCCTTATCCCCTGACAGGTGTCATCTTCAGTGAGTAAGAGCCATTGCCAAATTGCACAACAGCAACTACAGATGGGAATGGGCTGCCATTTTGCTTCCATCACAACATGCCAAACTCTAATTTGTAGAGAAAAGTTAGGTAGTTGTCCAGCCATTTCTTAATAGGAACATGTAAGGTAACATGACACAGAGATTAGTCAAGAGTGCCTCTCAGATTGGACCATTTCACATAGAATATAGTAAAAATACCAGGTTTGCCGCCAAGTGTAAATGCAACAGGGAGGTATCTGGCTCTCTGTTGAGGATACCTGTAGGATGCCTGCATTTCCAACATTTTTTGTCTCATTCATACATATTTAGGTGTGCACTTTAAAAACAACACCATTTGCATACGTGCATATTTACAAGATGTGCCCTTAGCTTCCTCAAGCTGGGAAAAGAACAAACTTTCTTTAAGCTGGCAACAGTCAGCCCCTGTGCACTGAATGCTATAGGCTATGTTTTTTTTAAAGATTTATTTATTTTTAATCTTGTTTTTACCCAGTGCTAAGTTCACCAAGGCCAATCACTTCTTCAACGTGTGGAAATAAACACTGACAAAAAGGTGGAATTATGCAGATGCCCTGTTAACATTTTTGCACACTGAAGCTTTTAAATAAAAATAGCTATTGCAAAAAAAAAGAGCTGTGCTACATAAAACAGAGAAGGACTAGATCTTTAGAAGCAAGTGATATGGTAATTATAGTGTGTGTGTGTGTGTGTGTGTGTGTGTGTGTGTGTAGGTATATCATAATTAGGGTTGTGTTCCAGGCAATATAAGCATGTTTTTTTAAACACACACACACACATATATAAAACATATGATTGAACACTTTTCCTGAAACAGGTACCAATATAATTAAGGAAATTAAGGGATCAGTTCATAATTCTCAGTCATGGATAGTAACTGCAAAACTTTAATAGGTAAAGTATCAAGTATAACAGTGCTAGAAAGCAGAAATGCTCTTACAAGATTCCTGCAAACATGAGTAACAACAGCAATGGTGAACCAATAAAAAAACTAAAAAATGCAAACCATTCCATTCCAATTAATTTCTATTAAACTTTAATTTAGCACCAATTTGTTGTGCCTCCACATTTGGGTAATTAACAGAGCGAGACCTGTATGAATACCAACATTTGCCTTCTAAATCATTAATGATCTACCTGTTCCATACTGCTGCTCTCCTCATTTCACAGAGGACGCAGCAGCTCTATCTAGCACTTCTTAGCAATACCTAAAAATAATCTGAAGTAGAATGCATTGCAGATAGTGCTGTACGTCTATGTTTAATAGTAGACAGGTGCATGTGTGTGTTATATAAATGACCGCAAACCCATAGAGCAGACGGCTTTAATATAAAAGTTTGTGGTAAACACATTCATTTCCCTTTGCTTTTGGGAGGCTACTTCAGAGTCAGATCTTCTTCTCTGGGCACCTCACTAAAACTATCCCACAGTCTGTAGAAACACAGTTGGAAGAAACTGCAACACTTACTTGGGGCTTAACCTTGCTAACATTTGCTATCAGTTGCTTGCATTTCAAGCATTTTATATTCGCCAGGACTATATGACAGCTTAAATCATATGATTGTAACTCAATCCTTTTAAAACATATAAAAAAATAATAATTGTCCAGTAGCACCTTAAAGGTAAAGGTAAAGGGACCCCTGACCATTAGGTCCAGTCGTGACCGACTCTGGGGTTGCGGCGCTCATCTTGCTTTATTGGCCGAGGGAGCCGGCGTACAGCTTCCGGGTCATGTGGCCAGCATGACTAAGCCGCTTCTGGCGAACCAGAGCAGCGCATGGAAATGCCGTTTACCTTCCCGCTGGAGCGGTACCTATTTATCTACTTGCACTTTGACGTGCTTTCAAACTGCTAGGTTGGCAGTAGCACCTTAGAGACCAACTAAGTTTGTTCTTGGTATAAGCTTTCGTGTGCGTGCACACTTCTTCAGGTATCTGAATTCTTTTATATGTTTCGACTGCGTCAGACCAACACGGCTACCTAACTGAATCGCAAACCTTTTAAGTTTCAAGGTCTCACCTGCTTGGTGTCTTCTCTCCACCAAGAACCCTTATAGGAGGTAGAAATTCACCAGACATTTGCAATGCACTGCCTACTTAGGCCTGAAATCTTAAGTTATCCCTGCAATACAGATATGTTTCCATCGTCATAATTATAAATAAAATTGTGCTGCTATAGAAGGGTTAAGGAGACAAGTCACATCCACAAAATATATTTAAAACACATTGTTTTCCCCAAAGAATCCTGAGAACTGTAGCTTGCTAAGGTTGCTGGGAATTGTAGTTCTTTGAGTGGTCGACTACAGTCCCCACAATTCTTTGAGGGAAGCCATATGACTGTTAAAGTGGTAGAAATGTCATTTAAATGGTGTTGGTATCAGCTAACTTCTCATTCCCCGCCCCCCTGCATGAACCACTCTCCTCAAAGGGCCAAGCATTTCAATTGAGGAAATCTGGACTAGAAATTTATCAGGTCAAAACCACACAAGACTGAAATTTCAGGGGGTTTCTTGTGCTGTCAAAATGGTACTAAAGCCCCAGTCCTTTGCACATTCACTTGAAGTCTCATGGAACTCAATGGCATTTCCAGTAAACACACATAGAATCAGGCTGCACAATAGTTTAACACAGCAAAAACTATTCCATACATAACCTTAAGATTGCAGGGACACTTGACTCAGCTGACTACAGCACTCTAATGTTATTTTATGCTGCGTATAGTATCACCTGACCTTCAGTATTTGTATTTCTAGTAAGGCAAGGTACACTGCACTTTCAGTACTGATAGAGATTAATTATTGCCAACCCCAACGGATTTCAAATCCAAATTTTGTAACAAGGACAACCAAATCCATAACCAGAAGCCTCAGTTATGCAACCAGGTTGTACTGTGCAATGGTACATCAGACTGCTTGCTTTTAAACAATTTTGATAGCACAACTTGTCTCGTTACATCATGGAATGCATTTTTTCCCTTTGGTAGGAAAGAGAGTACTAGAGAAAGAAGGGGAGGGGTCATAGAGGCTGTATCACCTACTCTGGAACTCATCCTATTACCTATTCTGGAGCAAACACCCTCTTCACTGTTAATATTTATCTCATTGTGCATCTGCTAAAGAGTAAGGCTTAGTGCAACTCTGCACATTATTGCTGCATTTCTCCTTTTCCCATGTATAGCCTATTATTATGACCAAATACTTGGGGTGGGGAGGCGGAAATCCCAGCTGCAACTTCTCTGACTCAGAGGCACAACAAACATCACAGGGGGTGCAGCAGCTTCTGGTTGGTGTTCGGTGCAGTAAAACATGCAATATGTGGAGACATGCCACCCCTAAAAACTTGTCCAATCAGATTAGCTGCAGCCCCCTGTATTTCTGGAGGTGCACATCTCCCCCTCACACTTTGGATGCCTGCTGCAGTAAACATGTAAATTCCTCCGTGGCCCAGGGATAAAGTTAATGTTGGTCAGTCATGTCCAGCGCTGCCTGCTCTACCATACAGAAGTAAGGATTTGTCCCAGGGAACATCCATAGGTCAGTGGCAGAACACATGCTTCACACTCAAAAGGTCCCCGGATAACCCCTGGTGTCACCAGGGTAGGGCTGGAAAAGACTCCTACCTGAAACCCTGGGAAGCTGCAAACAGTCAGTGATGATAGCACAGAGCTACATCCACAAATGACCTGGCCTGGTATGTGGCAGCTTCCTATGTTTCTATATTCATAAAAGTATTTATATACTGCAATATGTTGGGGTGGTAGACAGCAATGTATGTATACAATAAAACATATAACACCATCAGAAACAGTACAAATGTACAGACCGCAAGGGCTGGTTGCCTGGGTTCCCTTTAGTGGGAATGCCACGTCTTGACTTTCGACATGCAAATCATGTTTTATACCACTGATCTATGGCCGCTCTCCTGCATAATTTAGCCCAGGCCAAAACCACCATTACAATATCTAATATTTAACAGTCGTTCTCTCTCACCAGGGAAATATAGTTCTTTGGGGCGAGGAAATGACTAAGGATCTCCAGCAGAGAATTCTTAGCACCCTTGCCAAGATACCGTTCCCAGCATGCTTTGGGGGAAGCTGTAGTATGGATATGCCTAATGAAGCTTAAGTATTTGATCAGCATAGCTCTGGGAAAAAGCCAGACCAACTATCTGTCAACTCCATTATATTGTTTATGATGGAGAAAATCTGCTTTTACAAATGAGTTAACCGAGGCACAATTTTCCCCATTAATAAATGCAAACAGCATTCATGCACACATTTCAGTGCTGGGGAAGACAGAACCAAAAAGGCTTGCACAGATAGCTTGTAAGCAAGGCAGTGTCTTCACAATATTAAAAGTTTCAGTAAAATGTAGCAGCAGCCACCATATGAAGATGAAGTTCATAAGTGACTGGGAGGCATAACCAAATGATCTGAAAATGAATGACTATGGCTGCGTTCAGACATCACAATAAACCATTGTTTACTGTGACAGGAATGAGCCACAGCTAGCCTTGGGGTTATGTGATCCCTGTCACTCTCTGGTGTGTTCATAAGAAGTAGCTTGGAAGCTGTCATTTCCATTTTTAAAAAATTAACCATAGCTTGTTATCTCACCAGAATCTGACAAACTGTGATTAATCTTAACTGTGGTTTCTGTGAAAGAAGTAAATGTCAAATAACAGGTTATGAAGCTTGTTTCAAACCACAGTTAAGGCTAACCACAGTTTAGGGGGTAAATGTAATGCTAAAACTGTGGTTAATCAAAAACAGAAGTGAAAGCTTCCAAACTCCTCCTCATGGCTGCACTCCAAGAAGGAGTGGAAAAGGGGAAACATTTGACCCCAAGGTTTGCTGCAGGTTTTCCCCCATCATGATAAACAATGGTTTATCATGGTGCCCACAGTTACAGCCTATGAGTGCACTCTCACAACAAATGGGACTGCAATGCAAGGAGTAGACTACAATATGAGGGGCCAAGAAGACATCCAACAAAGGCATGGCAAGACCATGCACCAGCCTGGATGGGAGCAGGAAAGAAAAATCAATTCTATACTTTACCGAGAGCAGTGAGGCTTCTTAAGTAGAGGTGTTATGTGCGAAACTGTCAAAACACCCTGAAATATATATTCAGATTTTGATAGTGAGGAGCATGCAGAGGTGTTTGGTTTTCCCCCCAAAGAACTTGCGTAACATGAGATTTCAGTTGAAGTCAGTATGAAAAACAGCAGCAGCTCTTGAGGGAAAAAGGTCATTTTCAACTTATATTGTTCAATGACAGCTCTAGAAGATGAGAATACTTAATTTCTGTACTAACCATGGGCTGCTTCACAATTAACATTTTTTTCTGAGGTAGCCCTGTATACTGAAGAGCATATTAACTAGTATTGAGCTGCAGAGTACTGTTATTTTCACCAAAACCACACCATTTGTCTTACTTCATCAGCGTATTTGCTACAAGAACTCTCAAGTGGTATGATCTGCTCTTTTCTTTATGGTTATCTCCATGTAGGAAAAAAGTGATGTGTGAAGCAGTCCTAACTAGAAATTTTCTTCAGAAAATATACTCTTTCCCATTTGTCTTTAAATGCAGCAAAGGAAATGAACACACCACCAAGTTGCACCCACAGAAAACATTAGTAATCTTCACGTAAGTAAAACTTACCATTTCCCTCCCCTATCCCTGATTTTGAATAAAAACTCAAAGCTGACCGTTGCTCCAGTTCATTCTCACATGCTGCTGTTGCCTGCAATGTGCTTCCATCTTCCTTTTGTAAGTCACACTCTGTGGTTGCTTGTCATTCTACTGTTCAAGAGGTACCCAGTGAAAACTGGATGACTACAGAATGCAGCTCAATACATTTTTATTTTTATTTTTGAAGTTCATCTGCACAAGGTTTTGCTATAATACTTCCTTGGAGATTGAAAAGAGCTTTCCTGATATAAAAAAAATAGCACTGCACATTTCAGAATAATATTAGCAAGAATACTAGGTAAAGAATAAAAAGGGATGCATGCATTAAGCCTAGCATAATGACACCTAAGCAGCCTTCTCCAAATCCGAACTTTCCATAAAAACAAAATATGATACTTAGAAGCAATAAATGCTTTAATCTGTATATACTTTCCTAGAAAGGCATGAATTAAAATTGAGTCAACGGTGGTCCTTCTTTGAGTTCTGCTACACAGTTCCGTAAATGGGCAACTGTATCAACAAATCACCTGTCGAGGAACCCTTCCTTGCAGTGCCAAGAGAGGAAGCTTTGAAGCAGGCAGTGCACAAGAGAAAAGGAGGAACTTTTCTTATGCCAGTGATGGTGATAGGCTCTTGAAGCTGAAGTCTAAATAGCTAAAAACCCATTAAGCCACATTCATGTATCACTTTAACACTTAAGGCTTCCCCAAAAAAATCTTAGGATTCTTAAGGGTGTTGAGAATTATAGCTCGAAGGGCAGCACCCTTAACAAACTACAGTTCTCATTATTATTATTATTATTATTATTATTATTATTATTATTTTGGGAGGAGCCATGCCTGTTAAAAGTACTTTCAATGGATAGTGTGGTAGATGTGACCTAGGTACATGACTTCACTACACTGAGATGAAGCCTATCTTCTATATCCCTGATTCCAGGTTCAGAACAGGCAAGATGCCACACGAGAGCACACCCAGCCTCTCTGAATTTCAAGAGCTTCATATCACTACAAAGAGCACGTCACATTCTAAAGACTACTCTTTATGCTCCATTAACAAAATGGAACAGATATGCAGCAAAGCAATGAAACAGTCTTTAAAACAGAATGAAATTTAATCCACTAATCAAGTAAAAGTAGTTTAACAAAACTAAACTCCCTCTAAGTATGCATTTATTTATAATCATGATTATTAGTATATAAACTAATGTTACTGGTATATAACATATTATTATATTATATTATTATTATATGTTATATAAACATGTGCAGTGGTACCTCGGGCTACATACGCTTCAGGTTACATATGCTTCAGGTTACAGACTCCGCTAACCCAGAAATATTACCTCAGGTTAAGAACTTTGCTTCAGGATGAGAACAGAAATTGTGCAGCGCCGGCGCAGCAGCAGCAGGAGGCCCCCTTAGCTAAGGTGGTGCTTCAGGTTAAGAACAGTTTCAGGTTAAGAACAAACCTCCAGAACAAATTAAGTTCTTAACCCGAGGTACCACTGTACACATCTAAAATACTAAAAACTAAAACAAACAAGCAAATATTAAAACAATACCAAGCACAGAGACTATTCTGTGGCACCTGCCAATAAATCTTACTAGTCTAATTATTTTTGACAATTTGATGTAATTTTTTATTGTTCTGAGCCAAAAGCCTTAAAGAAATGAAAAAGGGACGGGGGAGGTCAAAGCCTTATGTCCAGCTTGTTCACACAAATAATGCATATTATTTAGAAGGGAAGTTACACGCAAAACACGTGCCCCAACCCTTACAGATTAAAATACAAGAATATCCCTCTACTTTCATACTCAAGTGACAGCCTGCACTTGTCCTTCCCCTCCCCATACTATTAAGTATTATGATGATATATAAATTAATATACACTGAAATTCACTAATTTATTCCTCTCTATTTTGTTGTGATGAATAAATGCACATAATATACCATGTTTTACCAGCATGCCTCTGCTAATTGTCATGTGATATCAGACTTAGAGGCTGCAGTAGCAGATTAGCATCTTTTATTTTTATTTTTAATTAATTAAATTTGTACACTGCCCTTCATCTGTACATCTCAGGGTGGTTCACAACACAAAAATGTAAGATAAAAAACACATAATACTTAATAACCCCCCCTTCTCCTACAATGCATTTAAAGGCATATTGGATATTAATTAGCCAAAGGCCTGGTTGGAGAGGAATATTTTTGCCTGGTACCTAAAGGTGTAGATAGAATGAAGGGTGCCACTGCAGAAAAGGCCCGTTCTCATGTTGCCACCCTCCTGACCTCTCATGGAGGAGGCACAAGAAGAACGGCTCAGAGTATGATCTCAGGGTCCAGGTAGGTTCTTATGGAGAAAGGCAGTCCTAAAAAGTTGAGCATGACTTCTTCTATTTGTGTTATGATCTATCCTTTGAACAATTTTTATATAACCTTCTTATCTTATGTCTGACAATTAGTGAGGTCAGGAACCTTTCCCATACCTCATGCATGTCTACTGTAACAAAGCCCCGGTCAAGCAGAACGGAAATAAACTGAACGTGAATTCATGATGATGAGCATGCTAAAACACGGTTTGATCAGAAACCGAATGGAAAATATAACCCTCAAATAGCACCAAGACACCAGATCAGTTCTGCATGGCACAAAATTAAAACAGAAGAGGAGAAAACACAAAGTAATAGGTTGCAGGGAGAGAAGAGTATGTATGTATGTATGTGCATATACATGTATCAGAGAGAGGTGTGTGTTTTGCACAAATGGAAGAGGAAGTACCACAAGCTCAAAAACGTGTCCTCCATGATATTTAACTCAGCAGCCAGTGGGGGGTGGGAAGAGTCAACATTATAAACTCATAACCACAGATGCAGACCAAAACCCCCATTTCACCCATAAACACCATTATAAAGTGTGGGAAAATCCACCATTTTACTATTTCTCTGGTAGTTTAACATCATTGTTAGGGAGTGCTTTGAACTAGCCATTCCACATTAAGTGATCTCAAGGATGAAAGCACACGTTATGTGCTGTTATGCAATTCTTTTTCCAGACCATTTTTCCTCTTACATACACTGAGGCTACATGATGAAGCAGAAGCCCAGCAAAACAAGAAAAGGGGGGGGGGGGAGCTTCGTAACCCTTTATCCTTGTGCTGTTTTATTGCTGAAAATCTCTACCCAGCTACTTTTATCCCCACTGGAAAAAAGATGCAGGCATGTTTGATTTTGAATGTCACAGCTTGGCAGCTATGAAAAACCCTTGATTAAGATTAAGAAAAGTTCATTATTGCTTTTCAACATTGAGGTAAGTCAATTTTACCAACATTTTCCATAAGGAAATAACTTTTACAGCACAATTCTAAGCCTCAGTCAGTGCTGCTGGGGATGGTGGCGGGAAGATTAGGTGGGCATTTCTGCACCCAAATCATGGACAGTGGACAAGTACAGCTGTGAGCAGCCACAGACATTGCACCCCAAAATAGTTGGGAGGTGGGTAGCTGAGTCAGCCATGAATCTAACAGATCCAAAACTGTTCTAACCCTCTGTTGTGCCAGGAGCTGGTACAGAAAAAACACGAAAACTCCCCGCTCGCCCACCTTCTGGCCAGGCCAGCAGATTTTTGGATTCAGCAGTGTTTTGGATGCAGCTGTCATGGGTTAGCCAGCAGTAAATCACACTGTGAAGGCTGGAGTTAACTATTAGCAAAAACACGATCAACACAGTAGTGTCAGGCCTAATGAGCATAGCAACTCATCTCCGGTAGGTCTTGCCCTCATGGAGCAGTTGCAGAGACTGAAGGTCCCCATCTCCCCACAGCTGGCTAAGTCCCCTCCTCTCCAGGGTTTTCTCCCAGTAGACTGTACTTCTGCGTCACTGATCTCTACTCCACTCTTTTCAAGCCTTTTCTGGTTCTGGAGACAAGAAGGGAGCAGAGCTTGTTCACAGCAGGAACTGGAAACACTTGTCACACTTCACCAACCTGACTCATCTCTGCCTCTTGGCCTCTCTCACCCCACTCTTTTGCTTCAGCTCCTGCATCTGATCATGGCCTTGTCTCTGCCACAGACTCTCTCAGCTCACTAAGCCCTGTTAAATCTTCAGCTTCCAACACCTTCTCCTCCCAGTCTTCTCCCTCTCCGTTGTCCCACCACCAGTCCCTGGTCTCTGAGCCTTCTTCCCTTTTGGGTTCCCCAGTTGGTTCCAGTCCATGAGATTATATCCCCAGTCCCTTGTTTGGATTGCTCTGACCCTCACATAACTATTCCTGAATAAAATATGCATAACCTTTGTAGGAGTGGGCATAAAATATGTCATCCTACACCTTCTCTCTCCAAAAACTGGAACATGCCTGATTTTGCCCTCTTAATCTATACTAATCTGCTCAGTGACAGAGTGTATGTTGACTTAAGGACACAGCAAGCAGGGAGACGAAGAGTAAACACAGGAACCACTTAATTTAAAACTTGCTAGCACCTAAGTAAATTAGTATTTTGTGACTTTGAAAAATGCATTATATATTTTGCAATCTTTGAACAGTGCATTCAAGTGCAATACTTAAACATAGAAAGAATTTAAATTGTATGCTTTAATTAGGGCTTTGCTTGCCTTTCAAAAACAAGCAGTTAAGGCACTAGTCACCTCTCACAAAGCTCTCTGCATCAGGAAAGTGAATTCAAAGAAGCAGCAAGGATGGCCAAAGCGTCCAAATCAAGGAATGGCACAGCAAACCTCTTCTGTGTTTGCATAAGCTTCCCTCCCAGCTTGATGCAACACATCTCCTTATCCCTCCCATTGCTTTTGCTACTTGCTCCTGTTGCTTTTCATTGTCCTACAGCCCTGCTTTCTGTGATAACTTCTGAGGGTCACCCATACATTACAGCCCCCATTTAGGGGCTCTAATGTTTGTGAACTTTTGATCACATGCTTCAGCCTGATGGTGTGATAGGTTTTGATACCAGCTTCTATCAGAAACATGCAGTTTTGTGCATGGGGATTCGCCATACAACCAGAGATGTGCTCACAGTTAAGAGGCTTGCAAATATTATGACGGTCTCATAAAAGCCATTTCTGCAGCTTCCACGTGGGAGAGCCATAATATACGAGGCTGCCTTCATTGCTGGTTCTTTTCCTCTCCTACCCAGTATACAATTGCTGGGCGAGACACACTGAAGCTATTACATTTTAAGTGTGATGGAAGTAGTCTGAAATAACTGCCCATGCCTTGAAAATGCATGTGCATTTTTGTGACATGGTTTATTCTTAGTTCTATAAGCCTGCTGAGAGAAAGCCAGATGTCTATTGGCTAATGTTTATGGTGTTGCTAACATATCTTCCCTTCTCTCAATCCTTCACAGTGTTTATAAACTGCTGACAGAATATGTAAATTGAAGGATGAACATATATGAGTATACATGCATGAAATGCCCTATATATTTCATATCTAAGGGGGATACCTTGCCTTAGGCATACGGGAAAGGGCAAGTCTAAAAACCTGTATAAAGGAAACTGTGAAATCAGATTCCTAATGTGGATGAAGTACTGTTAAAAATGTTACATCTGTCTCCTCCCATATGACTGGACTAACAGAGTAAAATACTACCACCACTATAGACTGTATTAAACTACTAAATTACTGCCCATGCAGACATCACCCAAGTTGCAATGTACTAAGCCACCAGTACTAAACAAAGAAGGCAATACAAACTTATTATCAGCAAATGAAAGGTGAGCTTAGATGCAAATGCCAGAATTGCAAGAACCACACAACTGGTTCTGCATAGCCAATGGGGTTTGGGCTTGTAGCTCTTCATCAGCACCCCCCCCCCCAGTGCTACAGGCAGGCATACAAAACTACTTCTGATACCCAAAACTTTAGCGTTATGCTTAAAGTAGCTTTCTGGATCCCGGCCAGTGGTCTGTAATGCTGATGAAAGGATATCTGATATTCAGGTAACACAACCTGTTTCCTCTAGTTACATTTAAATCAACAAAATAGGAAGTAAGTCTTTAATGGACTTCAATCAGGTTACAATTCTACATGCATTTTAAGCAATTATTACTCTAACCCTGGTCAAACTGTGCTTAGGCCAATAAATTTAGGACTCGAGGACAAAAAGCATTTCCTTCATCCACACCAACATGCCTATCAGAACTGGACACCCATGAATAGCCTGGAGAAAACGGAGTCACGCTACACTCAAATATGAAGGAGAATCTGTGTTAGTCAAATTTCACATCATATGCTTGTACAGCAGTTGTAGTTGTGAAAGATTTCTCCCTGTGCAGAATCACAAGCATTTGTATTGTATTCTTTAAAACACCTGGCAGCTATTTTAGCAATAAGTGAATTGATTACCTTTCATCATGGCCAGTCAAGCAACTGACAACACTTCAGGGTGTGTGTTTTTTTTACATTTTTGCAAATGGTCTTTGAAATGCAAAATGTTTCAAGACTTTTGCTCAAAACCTTTATGGCACTGATAAACTACATAGATAAGCTATATTCCCTTCAAAGATGTATATATTCATAACCCTTCTGATAGATGCTGTTCTTCGAAAGAAAGAGGAATGTGAACACTCTTGATAAATTTAATACCTCACATTTCACACTTCAAAGCTGCAGTTCTTTTCCCACTAGGTTTTACTTGACTTGCAAATGAAAATTTGCGCTAACTCCCACTTACCTTCCATAAGCAAAGCGCCTATCTTTGTGATGATCGCCAAATGTGTCCCAGAGCCTGAGAGAAACACTCACTTCATCAACAACATCCCGGGAACGTTCAAGAACCTGAAATAGGTACATTTCTATCAGTTAAAAGTTTGCTGCAGATACAATTCCCTGAAGAAAGTCCTAATATATCTGTATCCTCTGGGACATGGTCAAAGGCTTACTTGAGAAATTGTGCCAAATCATGGTTACAGAGGCTTGATAATGTTCTGGCATGATTTCTGATTGCTGAACCAGAACCAGAAGTTAGGTTTTGAAGGCCCAGAGTGAATTTATGAAGGTGAGTATTGAGAGGATGGAAAGACAGGCAGTGCTAAACCACAGTGTTGCACATTCATAAAATTCAAAACGTGGCCTGGATTATAAACTATGGTTCATACAATACATTGTTTGGCATAATGTCTAAATATAGCCATTTATGTTCTCTCTTAATTAATTTTTTTTTTTTAATTTTACCTGTCATAAGGTCCCGGGACAGGATACAACAATATAATATAAGGTAATGATTGTTGTAACCTACCTTGGAACCTTTAGGTGAAGGGCAGTTTAGAAAACTTTTAAATATATATATTACTCAGACTTAGCTGCAATTAATTTGGATTCTTACGCACCAGCGTGGTTCATCTCTCTCTCTCTCTCTCTCTCTCTCTCTCTTCTTCTTCTCCTAACAAACTGTGATTATTTGTAATGAAAGAAACAAACCACAAGTACTGATTTGCATGGAATGGCAAGCCAGATTCTAATTCTGTTTCCTCCCTGGCACACTGAAGAAAGGAGCAGAGGACGAACAATGCATGATATTTTAAGCAACATGCACCAGCCCACATCAAACTACAGTTTGTGATATGAGAAACAAGTCACTGTGAAGCTCTGCAGCACTGAAACCTGATTTGGGGGTCACTTGTGAATGCACATGGTGAGCTGAAAGGTGAGCAGCTTTCAACTTTGGCACAGGTTTTATTAAGAACACTGTCAGCTAGAGCCACCAGATGCAGCAAAGTTCCTGAACTTTTTTTATTAAAGTTGCACTGAAAATGAAATCCAACAAGCATAGCCTTTCTCATTCAAGGTCTATTACAGGACCTGCTGCACCTGCTGAAATTTCTTCTGTCACACTGCTATGTGGAGGGTATATCAGCCTTGCTCAGTCACCAAGACCAGAAGCCAGAAAAGAGAGGGGTGTGGGTGTCTGTGAATCAAAACAGGGTGCTGAGATATTCCCAACATAACAGAGTCCTGAAACTGAATGGACATCAACCCTTTTAAAAATGAACTACAGGAAAGATTCCATGTATTATCCACAATGTGTGTAAGACATAGGTTTTCCTCTGTTTAAACATCACAGGAAAGCTTAGTTGTCTGTTCAGGAGAGGCTAAGATATTTACAAAATATTATACTTTTAAAACAAAGGAGACTGGATAAATAAACTCTAAAAGGATGTATGTATTCAAACACAACACAGATATTTCAAACAACAACCATATAGAGCTGTCACTTTTGAACAGAATGGTCCAATGATTTCAAAATATGTTCTATCAGCACTGACAGAAGACCAGTCTACTTGGTCCATTTTGAATTACTTCTCTCTCCTGAACACCATGCCTTCAAAACACACAACTCCACTGACTGTTACAAAGCAGCAACACTTAAAGCCAATAACTGGTTGATGCCAAGGCAAACTTCCTTATACATTATTGCACAACTTGATAAAGTGGACAGTACATACCTCTTGGCAGACTCGATACTGATCAATTGCCCAGACTGTAGGAACGTGAGTTGCTAGCAGCTGATACTGCGTCAGGGTGGTGTTACATGCTCTTGCACAAATTAAGCGAGTCTTCCCCACTGCATTGTCACCAACAACCACACACTTGATGGTTTCAACGTTAGGTCTTTCGTAGTCCATGTCAGCATCCATGTACCGGAGACTGTAAAAAGACAATAATGCCAGTTTCTAACAGTAGGAAACCCTATTATTTAAAGAGAGTTCTACTTTTTCCCCCTTTACTTGCTCAAAGGTAAGGATTGAAGTTCAGACTAAACTATACTGCTGCCAAGGCTGATTTATAAACTCCACACAGTTCATAAAATCCAGGCAGTTCTTTTGACCTTGAATGCCTGCCTTCCTTATTTTCTGCTTGGTTTTCTATAAACATAAACTTGCTTAAAGGAGATAAAGCATGGTGCAGCTAGGATTGCCAACAGGACCAGACAGCAGTTGCTTTAGCCTTTGCCACACAAAGTGTGACACAGCTCCATCACATTAATGTGAGTGCTCACTGCTATTCCCTCACAGCAAACATGAAAGGGAAATACATTTAAAACAACAGCAACCAGCTTGTATTACTTTCTGAAAAACCAGTAGCCTCGAACCTGCCATTGCCTTGGAATTCTAATAAACAAAAGCAAAAGCATCAGTGCAGTTTAGAAACCAGTGGTTAAAATCACTGGCATTTTGAAAGGTTCAGTCTGCCATCTTGATTCAAAATGGCATCCAACTGTATCCAAACAGACAAAAACCTGCCCTTTGACCTCAGGAATCATCATAAAATTAATTTTTTACGGTATCTTAAGAGGTGCCCAAACACATAAAGAACAGACAAAAAAAAATCCTTTCCAAAATAAATAGTTTACAGAAGCGAAACTGTTACAAATCATAAGGTAAAGGTAAAGGACCCCTGGACAGTTAAGAAACAATACTTTACATTCTGGAGTCATACCCAGGTTAATTCTAAGGAAATTAGCCGAACAGATTTCTTGAGTGCCCTACAAACTGACACTAGTAATGAACAAACTTGGCTCATTATAAAATGAGCACCACTTTTGATCTTAAATGCTCACCCTTGAACATACATTGGCCATTCACAGGGCAGGCCATTCACCTGCAGCTAATCATTGGTCACCAGTGTGCATATTCATGTGCTTAAGAAAAGGTTCCTCAGTGTTATGCTACAAAAACTACCAGCATTAAAAATGGAACAAATTACTGCTGCATAAAGCATTTTGGCAGCATCTTGACCCATCAAAATTTGGATACAAATTGTAAGCTTGTTCTTAAATGATCCACTTGTGCTTTTGGGAGCATAAAACCTGGCTGAAAAAAAATAACACCTGTTAACAACTAAAATAGGAGTGCACTGCTTTACAAGCAAAACTAGAGGAACCCGTATTTTATTCTGACTTGTGTCAACTTTATTATCCTATTATACTGTGCACAGAGGATTCCATAAATCTTTGCCCTGCTCTACCTTTTTAATTCTGAATGAAAACCAACCTCAACAACAATGCAAATGATTTAGAGGCAAAAGTTTCAAGATCAACCAGATTAATGTCTAAATTAAGAGTGTACTCTCACAAGGATATGTAAAACTTGTTATCTCATTTCCAAGCAGTGTTGATAAATTTTTGGGGTTGTTTTGTTTAAACAATTTGCTACAGAAAGCACGGCGGCTTTATAGGGACGCGGGTGGTGCTGTGGGTTAAACCACAGAGCCTAGGAGTTGCCGATCAGAAGGTCGGCGGTTCGAATCCCCACGACTGGGTGAGCTCCCATTGCTCGGTCCCTGCTCCTGCCAACCTAGCAGTTCGAAAGCATGTAAATAGATACCGCTTCAACGGGAAGGTAAACGGTGTTTCCGTGCGCTGCTCTGGTTCGCCAGAAGCGGCTTAGTCATGCCGGCCACATGACCCGGAAACTGTACACCGGCGCCCTCGGCCAATAAAGTGAGATGAGCACCGCAACCCCAGAGTCGGTCACGACTGGACCTAATGGTCAGGGGTCCCTTTACCTTTACCTTTTACAGAAAGCACAAGTTCATGTTTTGTATTTCCTTCCCACCGCCCCAAGTTTAGAGGAGAAAATTGGTGATGAAGTTCCACACAAAAGTGAAGAACTGTGTTTTGCAGATCATCACATGGGTGCTAGGTCCAAAGGTTCCCTTCTGAATGCAAACAGCACCAGACCTTGCACAGAACAGCACAAGAAAACTGGAACTAAGTCCACAAACATTACCCTGCTTTTGCATCCTCTTGGGCAAAGCATTATTGAGTTTCCCATAAGAAAAATGGATAATCATTCAATTAAAGATATCAGTGAATCTGCAAGCCCACATTGTCTAGCATATAAATACATTTCAGTGTGAATGGCTTGTAGGGGAATTAATTCACTTTTGTTTTCCAATCACCCTACATTTTCTTTTGTATTCATTTGGGTGGGGAAGGGTAGCACTGAATAATCTGACAGTCAAGTCTTGAAACGCCCCTTGTTTTCTCCACCAAATCTCTTCATCTATTTTTCTTTGGTGAGGGGAGGGGTAATTCAGCAATACTCCTCCTCCCCCCACCAGCCACATGTGTTGGCATAAAATTGTGCCAAGGTCCAAGACATGAGATTCCTGGGCCTATATGAACATGTTTGTTCACCAGTCTGCAAATGTCATGCTGAAGGGATCCAACTCTAGTGTCCAGAAGTGGCAGGGAGAATAAAGACTCATCAGAAACAAACAAGGACCCCCTAACCTGACAATTTCGCCTAGTATATATGAAGGACAGAGCCAAACAACCACCACAATTTGCAGGTGAGGGAACCCTAAGATTTTTCTGTTTAAACAGAAGCCTTCCTGGAAATGTTCAATAGCTGTCAAAACTTAATTAAATCTTTTATCGTTGCACTGTATTTTTCTACACAGAAAAGCAATTTCAGAATTAAGGAACAGGTATAATTACAGCGGCGAGCAATTTCGCCTTTATGCGTGCTGCATAAGTACAGTCCTCCCCCCTTCATAGCTATAGAATGAGCATTAAAAGCATTCTTCCAGTAGTTTTAAGTGCTATTCTGCTGTTCAGTATTTGTTCTGTCCAATCAATTATACTTTGTAAAGTGCAATAAGAGATGTTTTAATAATGGATGGACTGTAACTAGTGTTAATTTTACTTTTGTTTCAGTTGACACAGCTCTTGAGACATAGGTAATGTAAAAACTAAATATTACCTAAGCAAAAGTTCACGCACTGAAATGTGAAGGCTAATTATAGGGGGGATCTGACTTATAGTATATTTATTACCAGTCTAGAGTGGAGCAACAACATTACATTAACTGGTCATGCTGCTCTATGCATGTAGGAAGCTAGAGCATTAGGAAAACCACAGCGGGGGCAATTCATAGACAACTTTATGGCCACAGGGAGCATAAAAGCATAGTCAACAGAATGAGTAGAGGAGGGAAGCTGGGGGAAGTCTAAACAAGTTAAGGGACTTTGACTTGTAGTGTCACAGACAGCTACAATACATCAACAGTCATGACTGTTTCTAATGTAAGCCTCAGATAAAACTATTTTGTAATCAGATAAAATTAAAATGTATGTACTAAATAAAAAAGCCAAGTGTTTGGTAAGTGTATTTCAAACACTGGTGGCACCCCATAGCTCAAGAGCTAGGGGGTCAAGAAACACTCATCCAATGCTACCTTCTAGAACTGCCCCCAGAGATAAGATTGGGATCCATGGAGAACAGTGTTCCTGGTGGCAACATCCTATAGACTGCAGAAGAGGATACCATGGTTGATAGTGTCAAACGCTAATGAAAGATCTAAGAAGAGCAACAGGGTTGTGCTCCCTCCACTCCTGGGGCAAAATAATGGATGAGTCATTATAGGGAACAGTGGCATATGAATAACAACACAAGTTCTTTTCCTTTTATGTTTTACAAGTTGTTGAAATCAAAGGAGGAGGGATGAGATAATTGCTAGCATTTCTTTTCGGACTGGAGAGGGTTGAATGGGTAGAAGAGTGGCAACTGAAGAAATGTAGTGTACAACTGTTCCATCAACTCAGGTGAATAAAAGCAGGTGTAAAAAAACCCCCACACATCTAGATGCATCCCAAGTATGCAAAATAACTTCTGGACACCCCCACCCTTACACACCTGCCCCTGCCCTCTGCACCCACCACAGAAGCATACAACACTACACAGCTTGTAGGAGCAAGAGGAAGACAAGAGAGGAAAATAAATCATTGAAATTGGGATTCGTAACTATAGCCGAAGACCATGCTGAAAAAGCAGTGCAGATGTGGTCAAACAACTGAGCTTTTAAAAAATTTACCAGGAAGAAAGATACAGTGTCATAGTCAGAACCTATAAGGTTACTCTGGTGAAGAAAGGCAATACAAAGTACAACTGGTTAGTTTCCGAAAAGAAGGCTGCATGAGAAAGCTGGGGCAGATAAAAGGAGAATGGTAGAAAGAATGCAGATGGTCAAGGACATAGAGATAAAATTTCTAGAAGTCAAAAGCACTGGCTGCCCATGAGCTGCAACAGAATAATTTGCTGTTATTCACTTCCTTCGATGCATAGCACTTTGTTTTCTAAAACTGACTATATCACACTAGGCTCTATTATTGCCTTTCCTCCCCTCTTTTCTTTTCTTCAGGTATGCTAGAGTTCCATTTCAAGATAACTACTAAAAACTGAAGTCAAAAAAGAAAACAACCACACTCATGTTAGAATTATTTGTTTGACAGAGAAACTTTGCTGCTGCTGCTGTTACATCAAACAAATTGGATTTCAGGAGGCAAAGGACAAGTTCAGCTACTTGACCAAAGGTCCGACCCAAAGGTCCTATTCTGTTTCTGGGACAAAAAATGCTACTTATTTGAGAGCAGCTAAATAAGAATAGCAGAATAGGTTTTTCTTGGTAATTCTGGACTTCATCCCCTCCCAAAGACCCAGATTTACATGCTCCTTCCATCTTGTGATAGCAGAGATGTTTCTTTTTGATCTGTAGCATATGCTGGTGCCTTTGTCGTTAAGGCCCAAGAGGTGGAGGGCATGATCACTAATATTCAAAAGCAATATACTGACACATTCTGGATCCCTGAATGTCTGCTCTTGTCACCCTGATATGGTGCTGGCCTTGAAACTTTGGGCTTCTCCAAACTCTTGAAAAACTCCAACCTTGGAAGAATAGGACGACAGGGAGTGCAATCATCTGTTCTGTTCTCTTCCCTTCTTCTAAGCTACAGTTATGTACAAACTTTGGTGTATTTTAACTCCGAAATTGTACTTTGCTAATCAAGAAGAACACACCACAGTTCCTTGATCTTATATGTAATAGGAAGGCATAGTTTAATCAAAAGTGGAAGCTTTCACCCTTAGCCTCCACATGCAGAGGAGGATAGAAGTAATGAGCAAGCCTGCAGTTCATCAGGGCAGTATCTGAGCTGATGCACGTTTTGTTTAAGAATCCTATGAGATCATTACCCCTTTAAATTCAACTTTAGAAGCAGAAGTTAATATACAAACACATGCTGCTTCACTGATAGAGTTGCTCTAGCTGAAATATTACATCTTGTGTTACACGGGCTAGCAGCCTGTATCATCTACAAAATCATACTACTTAGTGTTGGGAAAGAAAAGTTTTAGGGTATCACCTCGACAAAAAGGGGCATAAAGATGGTCCACAACAATATTATCCATACCAGACAGCCTTTCCGAAGCAATAGCTACAATCAAAACCCAACTGATTCAAATTATAGGATAGGAGATTCCATGTAAACGTTAGGAAGAACTTTCTGACAGTAAGAACTGTTTGACAGTGGAATGAACTATCCTGGAAGGAGGTGGACTCTCCTTTATTAGAGGTTTCTAAACAGAGGTTGAGTGGCCCTTTTCATGGATTCTTTAACTGCGATCCCTGCATTGCAAGGGCTGAACTATATGACCCTTGGTATCCCATCCAACTCTACAATTCTATGATCTTCATGTTCTGCTTTTGAACTTCCAAAAATACCTGGCTGCCTTCTGCTAGAAACGGAATGCTGGACTACATAGACTTCGATCTGATCTAAGCAATACAATTATTAGGTTCCCATTGTATCGTAAAGCAGTGTGAAAATAAAAGGGGAATTCCTTCCCTAGTACAAATCCTGGATTTTGCCTTGAAATTACCAGTTTCTGCAGCGTGAGTAACATTAGAACCAAAGCATGTTGACACAACAATCAACAGTCAATGCTGAGTTGGTTTATTTAGCTTGCAGCTGATGTGCAGTGTTTACACTGAAAACATCTGAAAATTGTTGTAGGAAATCACATTTCACACTGTAATGCTTCTAGTTTTCCAAATCAAAACATTTCACAATACAAAACTGTGTGCAGAAAACCCACATTATGCCATGTCTGAGTGAGCCTGTTTTTCTGCCTGTGCTCCTCCTGGGCTTGGCAGTTGGCACAAGAGACACTGGCAAGCTCACTTTCCACCACCTGTTTTGTGAGACTTCTGCACTACCATTTCCTGATGCAGATGTAACAGTGTAATATTTTCAGCATTCTGTGCTCAGCATAGAATCAGGTTCCCAGCACCATCATCGACGGACCTTTATTTTCTTGTTGGGAAATGGTACTTTCTGCTGTGCTGAAGAAATTGATGTTGTTCCTTGGTACTGGTGCATGAAGCCCGTAAGCCCTGCAAGTGTATGGCAAAAGGGAAAGTGTTTAATTGAGGCTTCCAATGGCCTCTTGCACCTCATTCTAAGGCCCTGATGCTAGTTGGCTGGCAGCTCTGGCAGCATGGTTTTCTCCTTGCTTTTGGAGGCCAGCAGAGTGCCCAGCTCTAGTTGCCTTGCACTGAATGCTGCAGCAACTCTCTCAAGACATTGCTTCTAGTTGCACTGCCATGGATGTAGGATAGGATAAAGCTCAGTAGTCCATTTGTGTGGCCAAATGCCACACCAGCAGATTACAAAAGAAGCAAAAGCACCTTTTTTGTGATGCCTTGGACCAATCAAAATGAAGCATAATTAAATGAAATTTCATTAGCTCACATTTATCCCTGATTGCCCTTGTTTTCCTCTTATCCTCTCCTCCCTTGACTCTGATGTTGACAAAATATATAATATAAACTCCTTGGGGTGGGGTGGGGGAGACAGAGAAGGATCGTACATAGTAAAATATGTTACTCTGCAATGTGCCATGCATATTAATGGTGCTTTATGTATGAATGGTAACTTTTAACAAAGTTTGAAGCAACAGCACCATAAAGCACAACAAAGGAGAAAAAGTCATACTGAAATTGTGTTTTTTGTGCTTGTCTCTTCACTATGAATCCCACCCCAATCTGTTTCTTAGTCCCCCTGCAGGATGGCCCCGTTGTAAGGAATTCTTTTCCCATATGAATCAACTCAACTGTCCAATGTAAACATTCTTAAACAGCCCTCACTGCCATTGAGGTCACTGACAGCTTGCTTGTACAAACACTCTGGCATACAGTATAAATTAAAGATATGAAAGCATACACCAATATTCTTCTTCTTAGGCTCATAAAGCTGATGCATTTTCCGAGCTGGGGAAATGCTATTGTCCTCTTCTTGTTGTGTGCACAATATACACATTTATGGCTTTTTCCCCTGTTGTACTTTCATCACTATCAAACCAGTTTTCTGGTGGCATTTTCATATTTTGAAATATACCTACTAAGATTCTAACATCCCCTGGCCCAGGTTTATGCCTGCAACAGCCATCTATTGAATAGTGCCTATGACATCAATGCCAGTTTTGTGTCATCACTGATGACAAAACATGATCTCTCAGTGTCTATACAGACTAAGAACATGTTTTCATGGTTTTTACATTAGTATATGGCAGAAAATTTGTTTAAGCATTCAGCTCAAGAATGCTTCAGTAGCCTCTTAAAGAAAAAGCAGGGCAAGGTTTTCCTTTCCACACTGCAGCTCACAATGTCTAGACCCGTTGCTTTTTCTTTGAAGATGTGAGCTCCCTAGTGCCCCCTAGCACTGGAGTACACTTTTCTCTTCTTTACTATTAAAAGAAGTGCTTACCACCATGGAGCACTTCTGCTGAAAGCACCATACGCTATAATAAACGCAAATGACAGCAACAATGTCAGTGTACCATTGCACCTCTTCCACCATTACAACAAGAGGAAGGCTTTAGCTCAATGCTGGTTTATCTGCGTTGCATGAAGAAGATGCTAGATTCAATCCCTGACAACTGCAGGCAGGGCTAGAACAGTTTCTCTGCCTGAAACCTTGCAGAGCCACATTTCGTCGGCATAGACCAGTCTTCCCCACCCAGACACCCTCCAGATGTTGGCCTCCATCAGCCCCAGCCACCATGGCCAGTGATGATGGAAGTTGCAGACCAACATCTGGAGGGTACCAGGTTGGAGGAGGCTAGTGTAGACAATACTGAGGTAAGTTAAACTATGTTCCTAAGCCCTCCTCTCCTTTACATTTGTACATCACTTACATTACTGTTGCTGGACTGCAGCAAGTGCCACTGTATCATTAGGAGGGAAGTTGTTCCCATTACTCTGAGAAAATGATATCAGATACAAGTCTTTATAGATGCAGTATCTCTCTCCTTCACAACAAGAAAATATTACTTACTGGTATTTGAATCAATTTCTATGACTGCCATATTTTAACGCAAAAGGACTTTACCAAATAATTAAATAAACAGCCTTATTGGATGTTTCCAAACCCCACATCCCTTCCATTTGTATATTAATATGTTGCTTTATTCTATATATTAATAGATGTAGGGATGATGGGACTTAATTATTGCCTTACTAACCCTTCTTCTTGTTAGAATGATGCCAAACTATTCATTGTCAAATAAAGCTTTTATGTGATAAAGGCCTAAGAGCAGACAGTGGAATATTAGTGCAAACACTGTAAACTTAAGCCAAATTCATATATGGATTTTGATCAAACTGTAGCAATAGTGTGTTCAAAGTTTCCTGAGAGATGATGAAAACTATTCTCCTGAGTGTGGATTTCAGTATCTAGCTTTTATTAATGATTGATTTTTTCCCAATCCACTGAAAAAAGTGTCTCCTAGATAAGAATGTACTTCAACTGATCCCAGCTATCAACTATCCAAAAGTAGTCCAGAAGCACAACTCCTCAGGCCTTTGGAGAACTGCAGATTAGTCACTGTATAGATACCACTAATGCATGCAAAACAACACTAAAAAGGAAATAATGTTTTAACGAAGTCTTATTTGTTTGCTTTCTTGCTCACAAAACATTTAGAAGAGCTTTGCTCATTAAAACAAAAAGATAATTTAAAAGGTAATTTCAGGTGTAAGCAAAACATACTTTCTTGAAGAGGGCAAAGGAAGCATGATAGGTATGCAGAACCGTCTTCTGCAAACTTCTGACTTAGCAATGATTAATTAAGCGAACCATTCTAATGGCCATTGGCCGGGTTCCAAAAATACATATGACAGGTTGAATGAGCCACATACATGTTTTCTATCTTCTCCTATTTTTAAAAAATAGCTCCAGCACTACTTAGCATTTATTTAATGCCGCCAGTTTGCTAGGCGCTACATGCTTGGCTGCTGTTCAAGAGAACGTCCAGGAACAGAAAACAAACGGCGGGTGAGCTACTGTCAGTTGCTGAGAATATTCTGGCATCGCCTGCCAGCTCTCGCTGTGACCATATGCAGAACTTCACGGTTCCGTGCGAACAGATGTGCAAAGCCAGCTTTTCAGCCGCATGGTTTGCGTTATGGCCAGCAGCAGCCAAGTCGGTCAAAAGGACTGGCTCGAACTGCTTGCCTTGCCTTTTCTGCTTTGACAGGGATGCTGGGGCTGTAGGAAACCACAAGCTCCAAGCAAAAAGGAACAGGGGCAGAGAAAGGTGGAGGAGGAACCCAATCGTTCTATTAAAATGTTTATTACAGTATAAATATCATTAAGCATGATGCAGCCAAAGTTCAGGACTTCTTAAGACTATTCCTATTAGTGGCACACCTGCTGTCTTGCAGCTGAAATAAATGGCTTGGCTGGGTTGCAAGCTGTGTTTCTCCTACTCATTCAAACATTCAGCAGACTTGCTTTCCCCATGACACACACACACACACACACACACAGGACATATAATAATATATATGGTGGGCTTCTTCTTCAGACACCAAGAAGCAACCATTGGTTGCTGGCTTGAACTTGTAGGCCCCCTAATGTGTCCATTGCAAGCCCTCTCATGGTAGCCCCCCGGCTGTTGTCACAGCAACCCACAACAGACGCCGCCGACACAGCAAAGGCTAAGGCAGGCCAGTGAGCATTTGCACGGACAAAAGGGGACAAGTTATGATGCCTTTAGGTTCTGCGGCCAATACTTCCGTGATGAGCATCCCCTCCCTCCCGCCGGTCAACCGTGCCAACCTGGGAATAGTGTCCGGTCAGCAAATCTGGCATCAAGGGAGACCACCGGTGTGGGAGCGACCCTGTTATGGGCTGTCACCAGCTCCCTGAGTCAAAGGCCTGAGATCCCTTGGGGCAACCCCGCTGTTACTGCCCCCGTCAGGCTGAATGTCCTACCGCGCTAACTTTCTGCCATATAACACTTTGGGAGAGGGTACCTTGCACGTGTGGTCGGCAAACACGCGAGCGAGCGGACGGGCGCGGGAGGAAGGGGGTGTGATGCTGGGATGCAGCGCGCGCAAAACTTGGGCACGATCACGCGCGGCGGCGGCGGAACACGGCGCCTTACCCGGCAGGGACTGGTGCCTTGCAGCCTCCGCGGCTGAGCAACGGCGGCAGCCCCCGGCAGCAGCAGCAGCAGCCGCTCCTTACGCGGGGCGCGCAATGCCAGAGAGCCGCCCGCCAACTTTGCACAAAGGCAGCATGGCGCTGGAGCTGCCCTTCGCCCCGTTCTTGCAGCTGCAGCCGATGCGCTCTCTCCGGCTAGACCCGCTCCTCCCTCCCCCCCCCCTCGGGATTCAGGGTGAATCTGGAGTGCAATGCAAAAGAGCAGAGCTCCGGAGCAGCGGTAGGAGCCGCTCTCATGGTGACGTCGGCAGCCTTCGGGTCTATTTATACTCGGCCGATTGGATTTCATTCATGAAAACGGGGCCGGGTGGCTCTGCGTAAGGAGGCGGGGACTGAGGCGACTGCCAGCGCCCAACACAGACACAGCGAGCGAGCGAGCGCCAACACTGTGTATGCACAGTCCGGGTCGCTCTGTTTACTCACCGCCCCCATCGGCAGAAATTGCAAGAGAGCCTTAGATCTGCACCGCGCGAGCTGATCTCACGGAGTCGCCATCTCAGGACCCACCTCAAAGGCATTCGGCTCCCTTGTAGCATCCCAGCCCCGAACGAAGAAACAACTCACCTCAGTCACCGTCGTGCGGAGAGGCAGGGCCATTCCACACAGCACACAAGCTGCATTTATCACCATCTGTACACTCAGGGAGGAGCTGCAGTCACACCTGGCTCCCTGGGGGGCATGCCTGCATTATGCCCATGTTTGCAAACACATTTGTCACATGCTGCCTTTGCATCTGCTTAGAGGCAAGTGTAGCTAAGCGGCATATACATTGTTTAAGTACATAAATATGCACAATGTTCTAAGATAAAATGTAGTGAATCAAGACCACCAATGAGAAGCCTCTGTAAAATTAAAGAACCTCCACGAAAGGGAACGAGAAGCTACTCACAGCTAGATTGCCCAACACTATATTATTGAGACAAAAAAGCTGCTTATAGGGCGATTCTGAGCAGGAAAGTAGCTAGAGGAGTAAGGGGGTAAGCATCCCATGCCATTCCTTAAAACAAAACAGGAGACTTGTGTCTGTATCTGTTGCATGTGCCTTAAAAAGTGTACTGTAGTTTGGCTGAGAGTAATTTGCCCTTGCAAAATCACCTTTTTCATTCCACATCAGATGGTGGATTTCACAAACTAGGCTTGTGGTGTTAGCTCACAGATGATCTATGCCAGAGACATGCGTGCTAAAGGAAGAAGTCTCTTTGCACTTAAAAACAAAGCGTGGGCAGCAGAGATTGAACATATTAACAACACAACTATAATTTATGAAATATATGCAATTTCCCCAAATGTTAGCTGCAATTATAAGTGTACATCACTTTTTCTATCTAGACTCTTGTGCTGTTAACACATGAATGATGAACCACTGCCCACCTCTTGTTGTTGACTCCAAATTCCATCACCCCCCAACCATGGAACTTCTACTTCAAACAACACCTGGAGGTCCACATATCATGCCTGCTTTCGCACAAACCAAACAGGAAGAAATGCAGCAGGGGAAACTTCACCCCATCACTCCATCTCTATGCCAAGATAAATCTTGGTATATATCAGGTAAACACATGTGCATGAGTAGTCACTTCAAAATGTTCAGGGCACTGAACTTACACTTGGCCAAGAAAGAGAGGGCCTCCTAATCAAACCTCCTAATCCTTGCGATTGTATATTCATACCTGCTTGTTAATACAGTGAAAGAAATAAGGGGGATGGTATCTCTCCAGCCCTTCATGTCTGGTAACCTATTTAGTATAGACTGTACTCTTAAATTTCATTTGAAATTTGTTGATTTGCTGTAAAGACACTGAACATTTAAGTATTAGACAAGCTGCAAAGTGAGTGCAACTAATCTGAGCAATACATAGAAATCCTGGATGTCAAGGAAAGGGGACCCTGAAATTCCTAAAAGGATTAAATAAGAGGTTGGAGTACTGAGTAGTGTTTATGTTGCTTGGAGCATTTTCCAGATTATATCCAATGCTTCCATTTCTGTTAAACTTGTATAAGCTTCATAACACTGCTAAGGATAGGAGAATGCTGCCTTGAGCTACTGCTTCTCCTTTGTGACTTTGATAGACAACTTCATGGGCAGTCTTGTGGATATGCCACATATTCTGAGCCCTTGCAGCTATAAACACACCCTTGAAAGTAAACCATGCCTTGTGAAATTCTCATAAAGCCAGAGGAGCAACTGAATAGCTGGGGTGCACCCATCTTAACTCCTTGTCCTTCCTTATGACTAGCAAAAGCCAAGTATGTCACACAAAACAGTCACTGTAGAACTACTATGTGCATTTACACAACTTGCCTAATTTACACAGGTTGCAGAATTCAACTCATCCTGGGCAAAGAATTGTAGGCTTTTGGTAGGACATATGAACAGCCCTGCTCTTGGGCATAGATCAGTGTCCAAAATGCATCACTGGAGTGCCACTTTTATCCAAAAGCCTTAAGCGATGGAGTCTCACTGCAGGATCCTGTCTGAGTAGCTGATATGGTCTTAGGACTGCTAATGTAGTTCAGAGAACAGGAAAAGAGCTGTCCGCTGTCTTGTTCTCTTCACTATACCAAAACAACAGTGCCGGATTAAATGGTAAAATCAAGGACAGCTTAATCTAACCACTGCTAATCTTTGAGAAACAGCCTTGTCAAATGCAATTTACTTTGAGGGCAACGATAGAGGCAGTGAAGTAAAAGTCCCCCAGTTGTATTTTCAGTGCCTAACTCAAAGGCCATTTGCATTTTAGTCAGTTCAGCACCTCAGACAATGGCTGCTATAACATTTAGATCCACAATTTTTAAACTTGAAACAGTGACTTGAACATTACCAAAAATAAAAGAAAACATTTATCTAGTCTTCACTGACACTGAATGATGTAGCTAGAGTGTATTTAACAATTAGCAACCCTGATCCACTGGTTTCCCTCCCCCAGCTCATTATGTAATATTTATAATTCTGTTTATTGCTTTGATAATTAAAATATATTTCTGGGGATCTGTAATTGCTTTTTTAAGCAACACACACACACACACACACACACACACACACTCACACACACTCACAAGAGAGAGAATACAGTTGTAGCTGAACAACAGGTTACAAAGAATAGTAAAGCAGTTTTGAAACATGTATTGAATCCCTGACATTCATTAGAGGTCTGTACAGGGACATTATTCCTGGGTAGCCCAGGGATTTTATGATGGGCTGGAATACCTTGCCCCTCCCCATTTTTTAAACTTAAAAAGCATGGTTTTTGACCCCCAAGCCATCTGGGTATACAACAAAGGTCAGTGTTAGGGAAACCTTAGCCATCCGCAATGCCATCCCAATAGATCATTTATGCATAGAAATTCACACATGTCAGTTTATCTCATAGCCATAGACCTGTGCCCTAAGTTCTTTAAGCAGCTAGCAACACCCCTAGGCTCAGGGTTTCCCCCATCATGTTTAGTTAAAGGCATACACACAAGCATATTTTCATGACTCCTCTTGTGAACACTGGAAACTATGGCTAACTTCAGACAGAGCCATTCCAGTGCTTTGGTGAGCCTACTTGGGAAAGGCAGAAAAATACGAGGCTGGTGATTCATTCATTTATTTGCCTGGTTGGGTTGCTCCACTCACTCTGGGACACTTACAACAAATTATAAAACCACAGTAAAACATTAAAAACTTTTAATCCACAATCAACAGCTCTCCCCAGAGGGTGCCTTCTGTGTGAATGGTACACATCTTTGAAAAGAAAAAGGATGGTTTTGCAAGAGAGTTGCAATGTTAGCCCCCAAATTAGGAGAACAAATATCATGAAGAAAGGTTAAAAAGATTGCTGGTCACATCTGTATCACTTACATTAAAGACAGAAGATGACTGCAGAGAGTTAAAGGTGGATGAAATAAGCATCATTGCTAGAAATTAGTACTCTACTTCACTCTGCCCTCTCTGGAAATAACCAGATTAATTTCCTAGATGTCCTCTGGATGTCTGTAAAATTAATTCAGATTTTGGTCTGCATTTGGATCAGGACAATTAGCTGTGGCATGTGACTATCCCCTGGTTTGCACGTGCCACCAAGCCAAACCAAGGCTTGGCATGAATGCATGAATTTGCAGGCTCTGAGAGAGGATACTGTGGCTGATTTGCTCTTCCTGGCTGTTTTCGTGCTGCGCTACACTGAGCTAAGCTATAGTTTGGGTAGTTTAGTAGTCCTCTTCTTCCCCAGCCCCTGCCTTACACTAGAATCAAAGAGTTGGGAGTAAGGAATCCTTGAGTGATCATTCAATTCAACCCCACAGCACTACATTCCCCTTTCCCCAACTGGCATCCTCCTCCTTTCTTGCTGCAAAAGAGGAAACCAATTTTGATAAGATATGCAGGCCTACATAACTTCAGTAACTACAGTTCAGCAAACAAAATGTATGAGCTACACCTTGATACAGAGTGAAGAGTTTGCACAAAATACATTCAGTACCTGTATTTTAGCTGGTGACCAACATTGCTATATATGCATATACACATACAATTTCCCTTTCAGGAAAATGCATAGAAGAGGTACCGTATTTTTCGCTCTATAAGACGCACCAGACCACAAGACGCACCTAGTTTTTGGAGGAGGAAAACAAGAAAAAAAAAATTTGAATCCCAGAAGCCAGAACAGCAAGAGGGATCGCTGCACAGCGAAAGCAGCAATCCCTCTTGCTCTTCTGGCTTCTGGGATAGCCGCGCAGCCTGCATTCGCTCCATAAGACGCACACACATTTCCCCTTACTTTTTAGGAGGGAAAAAGTGAGTCTTATAGAGCAAAAAATACGGTAATTTAAAATATTCTCCAGGATGAATAAAACCAACTTTATTCATAAAATTTAATGTGTCTGCCTTTATGACTCTGTGTGGTTTTCCATAAGAGGGAAACAAGTGCTGTCTAGTCCCACAATGTGGTCCACGTGTGAATGAGCCTTTTTCAAGAAAAAAGGTTATTTTATATTGCAGATGGCATGTTCTAGAAATAGTTAGATGAAGGATGGCTTTAGTGAAGCACTTTCATCGATCACCGCTTCTGTGACAAACATTTTCCAGGAATAAATTTCTACTCACCACCGAGAAAAAAAGGGTGTTCATAGCCATTGTAAGAGCTCAGTCAGAAAGGAATCCTTTCTTAGAGACAACTGTTCACACGTTTCCTTATCTTCCCTGTGGGGGGAAAAACATGGTGTTTTACACAATGTGAGCGGATTTGTTTTTATTTAGGACTATGCTACATTGCCCCAAACCACCATTTAGGAATCAGCTATTTGGGATAGAAAGAACTCTGAAAGTTCTTACCACCTGCTGTCTACAATTATCTAGAATTACTCACCAATCATTTACTAACCTCCAACCTGCCACCATCACATGCTCTTTGGTAGGAGTCAGTATCTGCTCTGTCTCAACCTCGTGCTTTCTTAATTGGTCAAGTTTGTATCTCTGGCTATTCCCGTTAGAAGTAAGTGTATATCAAAATGTGTGGCAAGTTAACCCAATAGATAGATGGACTTCACACACTTGATCCATTGCTTCCTTCTCATACACTTCGGCAAATCTATCTCCCTATTATGTCTGTATAGTATCACTGAAAACAACACAAACATAATGATTGGGTGTAATTGCAAAGCTGACCAACATCAATATTTCTTGCTGTTGAGCAAAACAATCTGGAGGACACATGGTGGAGCTAGCACTGAGAGGCAAACACCTCAACCTGGGAGGTTGTGAATACATTTGGATTTTCCAGAAAATTAGTTTGAAGCTGGACCATCAACTTATGTTTTCAATGACCATCACCTCATCAATATTTGTAGGTTGTTCTGGAAGCTTTTCACAGCTGAAGAGTGAGATATGCATTCCAACAGACAAGAACAAAAATAACATTTTGCATTTATATAGTTTACATGCACATTGTAAAGTTGATTAGCCCTGCTGCCCCATATTAATAGGGCATTCCATATTATATAATACAACATACAGTGGTACCTCAGGATGTGAACGGGATCCATTCTGGAGCCCCGTTAGCATCCTGAAGCGAACGCAACCCACGACTGCGTGTCTGCACGTGTCGCAACTCGCCGCTTCTGTGAATGCGTGTGGCGTCATTTTGAGCATCTGCGCATGCACGAGTGGTGAAACCCGGAAGTAACGTGCTCCGTTACTTCCAGGTCACTGCGGAGCGTAACCTGAAAATGCTCAACCTGAAGCACATTTAACCCGAGGTATGACTGTATTTCAAATTTTGCTTCTTTGGCAATTGGAAAATCTGGGGTCTGATCCATCCTCAGCTACAATTCTTACTGGGTGACCTTCCCACCTGCCACTCTCTCAGCCTTATCCATGCAACAGAATTGTTGTGAAGATAGAAAGGGGAAGTGAACTGTGTAGGCTGCCCTGAGCTGCTTGGGAAGACGATAGTATAAATATGCAAAAATAATAGACATACTAGGAAGGAAACTGACAGTAACATCACTGATATAGTGTGCGAAGTTCTCTAAACACTCTAAAGCCACTATATAAATGTCAAGTATTATTGACTGTGCAGCTCCCTTATCTCTGCACTATCCATAGAACACACAGTGTGGGAATCTCATCCTGCAAATTGTTCCCTTTGCTTCCCTTTTTCAAAGTTGTCGGGAATGTAGTTGCAGAGCTTTAATAAGCATACCTCCATTATGCAAAGGATTTTCCCACAAAATGCTATCACTTATCCTGATCTGACCCCTAATACCAAGTCAATGCCCATGTGGCCACCATGCCCCATAAACTATGCTTTGCCTTGCTCTTAATCTACATATTAGCAGCTCGGCTCTCAGCTTCTCTCCATTTGCTTTCAAGAGATCAAATCACATGTTTTAAGATACCTTCTTCTCAGGAAGCCTAACACAAACCCACCCACCCCCACAACCACTCAGCTGCTCTCCAGTAATCAGTCATTAACTAAATGACTTGTTTTCCTAAGGCTGTGTCCAGACCATTTCCCTTTATTTAACCCCATTAGTCCCTGTTTCTTTATGTTTCGTTTCCCTTTCATCTGCACAGTTGTGCCTCCCTTCATAAGTGCATCACACTGTGGAGGGGACTCTGCACAGTGGAAACAGTGAATGGGCACACTCAGGAACTGAATTCCAGTGTAAGTTTGACTGGTGTGCTACTGTAGGCTTTGCACTTTAAACTGACCCACTCCAGTGATGTGGAGCAGAACTTTTTCCAAGGCTTTATTCCCTGCACCCCTGTGGAAAACTGTCCATTTCCTAAGTTCTTCAGTAACCATGAATGACAGCCAATTGTGAATACAATACTAAGCTTGGCAATTTCAAAGCTTTTTGCTCTGTTTACTGAATTCAAGTGAAATAAACATGCAAATTACTACCTTTATTTGCATATGAATAAAATCCTTTTCAGAATTTTACAGAAAGCCCAAACCATTGGCCCTCTCTGACTCATGCTCTGGACTAGAGTGCTGATAATAAGGCCTAGAACAGTCTTTATCCAGAGGTCATAGAACCACAGAACTGCAGAGCTGGAAGAGACCCCAAGAGTTATCTAGTCCAATCCTCTGCAATGCAGCAATACCAACATGCTGTCCCCCCATCCAGTTTGAAACCATACAGACCCTGCCTAGCTTTGCAAATGTGCTAGCAGTTTCATTGCTGCATCAATGGGCGGCGTGTGGGGTATATTCTGCCAGACCACCAAGCCTCATCCACTCAAGATAGCTCTCAGTAGCTTCTCATTCTCTTCATCATCTTGGCTGCTTATACTCAGGACAGCTATCCTTTGTAACCCTTTGGTTCCATTACATGTAGGCTCCTCAACTACTCCAACTATAGGGTCCTTTCTCAGGGGTACTCCAGCTATAGGGACCAGATCCTACCTAGTAAGGCCTTAATAGGTTTGCAGGTTACTTTATTTATGGCATACTGTAAGGCATCTAATAAATAGGTTTCAACTAGTCTTATTCTGGCCCACTCACTTCCAGTGCATGCTGACAGTTTTCCAGCACTGAAGCGATTCCTTTAGCCTTTTATTCCCATCTCTGCTGGCAAGCTCCAGGACACATAAAGCAGATTAGCAGCTGCTGACTAGAATAACCCGCAGTCCAAGCTTGTTAGCTTCTCATTCACCTGGTGGACCTCCAAGCCAGCCTCAACTAGAGTCTCTGCAGGTGAGTTTCTGAACCTCTGACTAAAAAAATGTTCTCACTTCTGGAGGATTTTGAACAACAGAGCTCCTCCTTTCTGACCTGCTCCTTCTGGGGTAGTTTGTCCACCTTTGGTCCCCCACCCTGCACCTCCACTGCCTTGCAGGATATCTTTGGAAGAAGAAAAGGCTAAGGAGTATACCCTACACACAAATCCAGAGTGGAGTCCCTAAGATGGTTGGATGGCACCTTTTACACTTCCTTCCAGCAACTCCTGCAGCCAAGCTGGTGCCAAACGTATTGCTCAGCTTTCCATTGGATCACATCAGTGAGGCTGAGAGGGTGGTCCTGTTGTCTGGACAGCCCAACATCTCCATATACACTGCTCAGGCTTCCGCCCCATGGAGGTCACTTTGGTGCTGTTAACACAGCAGTTTGTCTTCACCACCAAGGGCACACTCCATTGTCTCGAGACAGATGGATGCCAACAATCAATCCTATTAGAAGCGAACAAACTATTGAAAGCAAGCAATATAATTGCCAACCCTGCTTCAGTTTTCACAAAGCAACAGGAAGGGCACCCTGCAGGCTGCTCCCAGTCCAACATACTCCCATCTCAAATCTCTCAGCTATCTCCAAACTCAAACGCCAAACTGCTATCTTTTCTTATATCCTGAGCATTGGGTTCGAAGCCACATCTCAACTCCTAAGCTTGGCTTCTACTGAAGTAATTGCAGCCCATCATTCCTGTTAGAAAGAAAACAATCTTAAAAAGTAATGGTCGCAGAGAAGCGTCCTAACTTCCACCCACGGAGACTGTAGCACCCACTGCCCCACGGAGAAGCTCTGTCAGAGAAGCTGAAGGAGGTCAGTGCAGAAATACATGGAGGAGACTGATAGAAGAGCACATGGGGGAAGGAAAGTCCAAAGAAACAATGGAGGATATGCTGACCCTGCTGCTCCTTCCTTGCTTCTCCATCAATAACAGTGCTTATTACAGCAGAGTGGGTTGGGAAATGGACTAGCAGGGAGAGCTGCTACTTTCTATTCTTGCTGCTTTCCAATCGCACAACATGCATGGTCATCAACTGGAATGGCATGAACTGCAGCCACTCTAAAAAACTGCAAAGGTACATATATGTTAGTTTACAGCAGGAGCCAAAGCTCATTTAATGAGAAAGGAAAGCACAATCAATAACTTGATGAAAATGACATTTTGAAAATCCCCTAATTTATTCAGAATTACAATGTTTCCAACGATATCACACTAATACACATTTTTTTAAAGAAATGTAAAATCAGCCTACCCAAGACAAATTCAAAATTCACCCTTACTATTACCCAAGTATTATGCTACATTCAAAATGTGGTCAAGGCAATAAGATTGTAGCAGGAAACATTTAGAAAATATGTGTTATGAAACATGCTTAATGGATCCCAAAGTCATTAAACTTCTGCTTAAACAAGGAAAGCAACTGCCTGAGTAAAGCTGTGAAAATTGCTTTCTCTGAGCATTATTCAAAGAGAGGCCAGCTCTCTCAAGAAGACTCTGGCAGGTTGAAAAAATTTAAGGCCTTTCCAGTGTCTATGGATTCATTCTCTCCTATAATATAAGCATATAAATCCCTGGTGTTCCATGGAAGTGGTGTATCAAATTTCCATTATGAGAGCTCTAAATGATTAATGAAAGTGGAAAAAGTGCAAGGTTGTATCTTGCTTCTTCCATTTCAATTTTTATCAGATAAAAATGGCCATGTTGCAAGCATCCCATCTTTTCGTTGCAGCTACGTCATAAAATGGACATAAAGAACTTTTATCTAAATTATTAAAAATGCATAAATGATTCACAATCAGTAACAAAACTTGGATTCAGTGTGCAATGTTCTAGAAAGCAGCGGTGCTGGGTGTAATAGACAACTTGATAGTAACCAATCATCTCATAGCAAAGGCAATTCTAAACATTATGTATCATGCCATTTCTATAGTTCACTTTAAAAGAAGAAAAGCTTATTTATAGAAGTTTGCTGTCTTTGTCAAAGGTCTACAGTCAGTCTAACGATGAAACCTACAAATCACTGAACCTGTTTTTTCTTCACTTTCCAGTAAGCATACCAGTTTAAAACTGCAACCCTGACCATACTTCACTTTCATCAGAAATGCTTGCAAATACAATGTAAGAATATAATATCAAAACAAAACAAACAAAAAAACCCTTAGGGCACATTCCAGCCAAAATTAAGCATATTCCAGTGGGAATAAATAGGATTTTTAAAAAAATAAATAAATGCTCAACTGCCCTTATATAGGAGAACATTTCACTGGGTTGTATTCAACTTTTATTCAGAACAGACTCATTGATATGAATGGATCCAACTTAGTCATGGTGATGAATTGCAATGGGTCTACCCATTGCAACAAAAGTTAGTTAAATGCAACCCCTTGACTCAATGAACCCAGACAGGTATGCTTAGATTATTACATTTACTGGTAGGCTCAGTGTGCCATTCTTTTTTTTTTAAAAAAAACAACATCATTGCAATGAAGTAATTCATAAGGACTCCTGGATCATGGTCTGCTTAAGGAATGAGGTTTGGGGAAGTTTTTAGTCTTAGTTTTCAGATCAGCTTCACTTCTTACACTTATCAATTTACTCATACCTTTGTTCTTTCCAGTTTGTTCGTTGTTTACTTCTCTGTATCCAGTTTTAGACCATCAAGTTGCAATCCTATACACGTTTGCACAGCTAGTAGTAGCAAGCCTCACTGAACTCTGCTGGATTTACTTCTGAGTGGAAATGTATAGGATTGGATTGCAAGGTGTGTGTGTGTGTGTGTGTGTTGTTGTTGTTGTTGTTGATTTTTAAAAAGGTTGCCTATACACACTTGCAACATTATCTTCTTATGTACACTTACTGAGAAGAAATGCCCACTAAATTCAATGGGATTTAATTTCATGTATGATTTAAGGTTGCAATCTTACATGGGAGTAAAAACCCTGTGTGTTGTAGGGTTCAACCGCACTTCTGTTTGTGTCGCAATTTCTAGGCACATGTTCGTGACTTCCAGGCATTGGTTCGAGCAGAAAACCTGATTGGTGTTTCTTTTCCCAAGGGAAAGCAGTGGGACAAAAGAACACTTGGACCCGTGCCTAGAAACTGCAGTGCAAACAGACGTGTGGATGAGCCCTTACTTGCAAATAAATACGGATTGAGTCAGGACATAAATGTCCTATCAGTATGTATTCACTTGCAGCTGTGGTTTTATTCTGTATTGTAAGCATCCCATGAGTTAGCTATTGGAGAGGTCACATAATACATAATTCACATAATGCATAACACATAATTCATTATACTTGTTTTCCCTTAGCAGCTTCCAAGACACTTTGGAAATACTGGGCACCATCCAGCCAGAGTTAATACAATGGAAGAGAACTGAGCCTAAGCAAATCAATGGAGCTTAAGTGTGTTTTACTTTGGCTAGATTTGTGCCCACTTTACAAGATACTACATAAAGGAAAGCAAAATCCCACTGGTGTGGGAGTGCTGAAGCTGGTTTTGCAGAATATGAGTTACCAGACTTGAAAAGAAAAACAAAAGAGCAGAACAATGTGTGATTTGTGTGGTGCTCACAAGGCCATAGTTCTGGAATCACTATACAACATCAGGGATGGCTCCTGGAATAGACACAGAAGTCATTTAAAATATGTCTCAGGACATGTGCAGAGTGCTTGTTCATCACAGCTGACATCACTCATGGGGGCCTTTCAGGGGCAAATATGCAGATGTAGTTCTTTAGAAATTAATCTGTTAAGTGGGAAGCAGCTTTAACATCTTCCCTAACTAGCCATATACCGTAAGCATTGCTGTGGGAAAGACCAAAAATTAATGAGCAATGTTACTGTCCTTTGTTGTAATCAAAGAACATTGTTACAGCTACTTGGTGACCATTCTTCCTTCCTTCCTTCTGCTAACTGCTTATTAATAGCCACAGATGAGAGGCTATTTTCCTCAGTGGGAGCTTGCATTTAGGACACTAGATGTTTGGTCTCCTGAATGGCCAATATACCTGCAGCATGGAGTCTAAGACCATTGCTCTGCAAACAGGTGTAAGAAAAGGTAGCAGTTGGCAGTTCTGAATTTTGAGAGGGGCAAAAGGACTTCTAAATTAACTGGATTAGAATCTGGAACGGGGTGCAGGGATCCACACTGTTACTCTCTGGGATGCAGGCTTTGTGGTTTTGTTGCCCGTTGTTGGAATGTAAATGTGCTAAATAAAATAGAAGTGATGCAAGGTCTGCAGAGTGCTCTTGCTCCCAAAGGAAACCAAAGGAATACCATTAAAGCACATGTGAATCACATTCTTTACCTCAGTCCCTAGGCACTGTAGTCTGTTAAGGGTTGATCGGAAAGTGCAACTGTGAGGGATAAACTGCAGGTAAACTACTGTAACCAGTGCTATTCTTCGGGGGGGGGGGGAAGGTGCCATAACTCACCATGAACGCTTCCCTTGTTCTCTTCTAATGGCAATGGTGCCCACCTGAGAGGTGCAGAAACTGAGCTCAGACTGATAAAAAGCCCTGCCTGTAACCATGCACACTTACCTCAGAGCAGACACGTGCAGCGTTGCACTGTAAATTGGCAGTGCTGCCCACAGATTTCTCACCAATGGGAGAAGTGGGTATAAAACTAATACAAGTTAATGGCGAAAACTTTCCTCTGGCAAGTTGCAGAGTCTCCTTTAGTTGCTGTATATCTGCCGAGGCAGTGCATACTAACTGCACAGCTTATATACACTGTGTATAAACATAAATGCTGTTCTGTGCTTAATACCACGCAAGTGCTTCGGCGTGCTTAGACACTGTACGATATTTCTCCAAGTCAAGAAAGGGGAACGGACTGGCTTGAAGAAGAAAAAGAAGAAGCTTGCCACAGTTCCGAATTAAATCTCTTTTTTCCTCCAGAGACCCGCCAGCCTCCCTGCCCCCCCCCCCGCAGCTCCCCGCTATCCCCTTCGCTCCTCGCCGCCTTCTCCGGGTGACCCGCGCGCGCCTCACCTGACAGGAGAGACTTCTCCGAGAGGGGCGCAAGCCGCGCGCTCCAGAGGGGGGGGGGCGTCGCGACTCGCCCCCCGCGGCGCCTTCGGAACCTGCGCGCGGGCAGCGCTGGCTCAACCTAGTCCGCCTCTCGCGAGCGCCGAGCTTCTTCCCTCCTTCTTCTCCCTCGCCTCCTCTCCGGCTCGCGCCCTCCCGGCTCACTGCTCCAGAGCGCCACACCCCGCCCAGCCTGTCCTTCCCCTGGCTGGGACAAGCCGCACAGGAGCCGCCACAGGTCACGTGACCGAGGCCGTGAGGCGGGCGGGGGAAGGAGAGAGGAGGAGAGGATGCTCTTCTTGAGGAGGAGGATTATGGGCTGTATCCTGCGCAGGGCCCGAAGTGAATGAATTTCCTCCTCTCTTCTTCTTCTTCTTGGCTTTTAATAATGTCATAAGGCCACTTTTGTCTCTCTCCCGCCCCCAACTATACCTATATATCAACATTCATAAGGCATAGGCCAGAGTTATTCACAGGCGTGAAGAGCAATAAATTGTCCAAATTAAAGCCCTGCCCATCCTAGACACACTTACTTGCAGGTAAGCCCAGGTGAATTCAGGCAGACTTTCTTCCTTGTAAATGAGCACAAGGTTGGATTGCAGAGAGCTATGAGCTTTCCTCCTGAATTTCCTTTCTGCATCCCAGACAAGGTGCCAGCCTTTGCTTTGGGTTTCTCACCTGTCACATCAGTGTGAGAGTTTAGCAGGTGACAGTGTCCTTTTAGTTTGGAGATCAAGGTGAGGAGGAAAGCGCCGCCTCCCAAATGTCTGCAAAGCCAGCCAGTATTTAAAAGTAACGGAGCAGGGCCAAAACAGCCACAACAAAGCTGGCAACTTTACCATTCATAAATTGAGGAGGATTTCCCCTGCTTGGTGGCAGCTATAGTTCTACGAGCCATAAATGCATGGAGAAGGGCCAGTAACCCTATATTTCTTTTACTATAAAAGGAACACGCTGAGTTAGCTGTGGCAGGGGATATGTAACTCATTCCTGTGTCTTTCTATTATATATGTGAAAACCCTACTGCAGAGGTTTTCAACCTTTTTGTGTCCACGGCTCCCTTGACCTTCTTTCTGCGGCACCCCTGTGGGGCTCAGGAGCCCAGTTATGTCACCCCTTGCCTGCAGAGCTGGCAGCTTCTCACTCTTTTTCAAACACCCTCCCTTGTAGAGTGTTCCCTCAGCCTCCTCTCTTCTCCCCTCACCTTGGGAGTTCTCCAGGCCTGGTCTCTAAACTGTCCCCCACCCCCAAAGAGAGGTGTCTCCTCACACTGCCCCACAGGGGCCTGGTACTTGTTTGTCCTTTCCCAACAGCAAGGGCTGGCAGACTGGCTGGCTGGGCTCGCTCGCCTGCTTGCTTGCTTACTCTGAGGCCATTTCAGCTCCTGGCAACCATCACCCTCTGGTCAGCCCCAGAAGAACCATTTGCTTGAGGAGCTTGTAGCCGGGGCTGCTGCAACAAACAGCTGTGCAAGCCTTTGGGAGGCAGAGATGCAAGAGGGCATCAGAGGAGGGAAGGAAACAGGGACAGAGGCCAGTGTTGCCCATGGCACCCCTGACCACCATTCAAGGCACCCCAGGGTGCCACGACACACTGGTTGAAAACCACTACCCTACTGAGTTCAATGATGCTTACTCAGAGAGTTGAAAGGGGTCTTGTAGGCCAAATAATCCATCAGCTCAGAGAGTATGTGTGCCAAACAATTGCAGCATCATGCATCGCTATCGTCTTTTTCTTGGCAAGTTGCCTTTCCTTTAGCAACCACTTAACAGAAGTTCAACAGAGGCTGCTCTCTCCAGAACAGTCTTCAGGCATGGGATAAGGAGGCAGGGGCAGCCCTATCATTAGACAGAATGAAGTAAATGGCAAATTCTTTGGGATGTTAGGGGGAAGGGTAGTACCTCTGGTGGGGGACACATGGGGCCACCCTAAACTGGATTAACTGGAAGTATCTCCAACTTACTTCCAAGTAAGGATGGGCAAATCTATCAGTTTTGGTTTCACATTGTACCAATCATTTCCACATCAGTTTGTTATTGTTATTATTTTTAAGTGCTTGCAAAAATTTGTCAGGATTTAGTGTGAATTTCTTCTAATATACATGTTTTTGCATGTAAATTTGTCCAATATACACATTTTTGCAAGGCATTTTTTAATAGTATAACATAATTTTGTATGCTATTTTTACTAATAGGTGCATTTTTGTGAATGTTTTGTCCTTAGTATGTGCATTTTTGTACATAATACTTGTCGGGGTAACTGCATTGGTAAATTCAGAAAAATGCTAATTTCAAAGGATGGCTGTGTTCCATTTCTCATATTGTTTTGGAAGGTATAAATTTGATAAGTTTGTCTTTAATTGATTTGAACCTCTCCCATCCCTACTTCCAAGTGGGACTCAGATACACATTATTTAGGTGTCTGGTGCCCTTGCAAAGACTAGGACATGCTTCATTGCTGTGACTAATACCCATTAAAACCAACAGGAATGCAAGGTTATTGAACGTGCAATGTGCCACCTTTACGGAACTTCCTAGACCTCTGACATCACAAGGCTGTCACGAGAAAGGCCATCTTGCCCATTTAAAAGCAGCTTAAAGGTAAGCCTAGAACAAACAAAGAAGGCCAGTAATTCATTTTTATGGAGGGGAATGCAACAAGGTTATTTGCTCAGAGAGTCATCATGAGAGTAATTGTTTTGGGGCAGTCTAAGCACAATATATGCCAAAACTTGTGATGAAATCGGAAGAATCTAATATTTCAAATGTAAAAACATGATTTCTGAGATAAATTGGGCTGCAGTGGGGACTTCCAGGAAAAGCCAATTTATAGTCTAATCCTAAGAGTCAATGTGATATAGTACTTAGTGTGCTGGGATAGGACCTGGAGGAGCAGGGTTCAAATCCCCATTCAGCCATGAAACTCACCATGTGACTTTGGACCAGTCACTGACTCTCAGTCTGACATACTTCACAGGGCTGAGAACAGACTCCACCCTTACAGTATTTGCAAAGCACTATAGTTAAGACCCTGGATTCTTTATCATAGACATGGTAGTGTAGGACAAAGAAACAAACCCTGGCACTCACTAGTTACAGTACATTTATGTTACATCCTTTCTCAAAAGTGTTTAGAATTGTGCTTTTAGCCTCATAAGTACCCTGCGAACTAGGTCAGGCTAATATAGAGTGACTGGCTCAAGATAATCCACAAGCTTCATAAAGTGAATATGGGTTGTAACTTGGTCTTCTTACACCTCCAGACAACCTACTACATTACCTGTGGCCTGTTACAATTTATGGTCTGTCAGCAAGCAAATAATCATGCCCCCCAAACCAATAAAAATCAATAAAAATACATAGCTAACTGTGGTTCTGCCCCCCCCCAACAAAAATCTACATCCATAGTAAATAAAGATACCATGAATGGCAGGTCAACAGTGCAATCATATATATTAAGGCTACCAGATTTTTTTCAATGAATCCGGGGACACTTTTCAACTTCAGTGGATTTGTATGGGGACTGATTTGAAAATCCAGAGACTGTCTGCAGGAAATGGGGATGTCTGGCAACCTTAATATATATGTCTACCCAGAGGTAAGTCCCATTGAGTTTAGTCAGTCATATTCCCAGGTAACTAGTTAATTGCTGTCTGAGTTTCAGTTTGGCAAAGTCTGTATGAAAAGGCATACTTGAGCCCTTTGCAAACATTTACCTAAGTAGTCCTATTAACTTGATTGTGATCCCAGTAATATATTTGCCCAACTGATGACACTAAGTTGAAAGTCTCATGTGTTTGCTAAAAACATGTCCCTAATTATCATAATACATTGGGCAATTCCAGGCAGACAGGTAACAATGCAGGGTTATCTTTGTGTCAACTTAGACGGCAAAAACAAGACCTTGTCATGGTCCTAGATTTTTTAAGATTGCTGGATTTCATTGTAAACAGCAAGAGATAACAACCAGCTAATTAGCTTGCACTCTGCACTTTAAACCACAGGCCTATATTAATGTTTAATGAGTCTCCACATCTACCATTGGTTTAAAAAATCCCCAACAACAGTGTACTTTATGTGACATACATGACTGACATAATTAAGAGCTATATTCTCATTTCCTTTTATCCCAGTGAATGCAGGGCAGCAGGGTCTTAGGAAAAGCATTCCATTATTTTCACAATATTGTGTGTTAGATTGAGAAGCACTGATTATTATAAGGCCTCACAAATTGCTTCATGGGATTTGAACCCAGATTTCTGTTCAGCACTGTATCTTCAACACCACAATTATTGTTTCCTCCAAGAGGGAGGAAGCTGTCCTAGGGTAACTATCTCTTATCTCCTGAAGTTGTTTGATTACCATATCCTCTGAGTTTTGGCCACACAGACTGGGGCTGCTGGGAATGCAGCCCAGCAACATCTGAAGGAACACTGATTCTACATGCCTCTCCTACCTACTGCACCTGGATAGGCCACAACAGGAAGATAAGCAGGTGTCTGAAGGAATAAGTCATGGAAGGGATTAGTTTTACTTCGTACCAGGCACTAAAGCAGGGTTTCCCAAATCTGGGTCTCCAGCTGTTTTTGGACTACAGTTCCCTTAATCCCTGACCAGTGGTCCTGCTGGATAGGGACAATGGGAGCTGTAGTCCAAAAACAGCTGGACCCAAGTTTGGAAAACCCTTCACTAGAGGCACTGAGAAGCAGCAGGAATCCCTCACTCTTCTTCTATATTTCTCCAGAGCTCAGCACAAAGTGACACAGTTCCACCCCTAAATTCTCTGCATATGCCAGAGGACTTGTAGGTGAGGAGGGATTGGTAGTGAGCAGATATAATTGCTAACTCCAAAGGCCAGACAGTGTTTATTGGTCTTGGAGCACAGTGCAAAGACAGCATGATGTAGTGGTTGGAGTGTCAGATTATGGCTCTCCTCCCACCATCCACCTCCAGCAACTGGTGTTGCTGCCTCTGATTGTATACAGCCATTGTGACTAGTAGCCATTGCTAGCTTTACCTTCTGTAAATATGAGTAATCCCCTTTTAAAGTTGAAGCAGTTTCATTTTCTAGAAATGTTGCATCAAGGTTCCTTTTTTTATAAACACACCACCAAATATTCCAACCGACCGAGAAGAGAAAAGAAGATTAAATGCTGACTATAAAGTAGGACTGCCACTGAAAATGATTTATTTACT